TAGGTTACAGCGTGGTTCTCAGTCACCGGCCTGATGGATTACGAAACGGTCTATGGAACTCTACTTATCAACTAGGTCTTAGTGTAAAAGGTTCGATTTTAGCTCCCACAATCATTACCGGAGCGTAAGGTCAGTTTGTCAAATATGATTATTTCAAGTTGTAATTCATCGTAGACTGACATCAGTTGGAGGAACAAAGGAAACCTGGGAGCACTGGACAGCTGTTTCGTCCTAGTGTTGGACTCCCCAGCAGTGCTCATCCACGACCCTGCCGGGAAACGAACCTGCGACCTTCAGGTTCCGTGGCCAGCACGTGACCATTGGGCCACTGGATCGGGATCCAATGGTCCATATTTCCAACTTCTGTCAGCTCACGGGTTAAGTCTCAGGCTCGATCCTTGGTGGGGTGGTGGGTGCGCACTGCCGGGGAGTCCCATACTAGGACGAAGCAGCTGTCCAGTGCTCACAGGTTTCCTTTGTTCATCCAACTGATATCAGTCTACGATGAATACCAACTTGAAATATTTCCAAATCCCCACAACTCCCTCAAAATAAGATTATATCAAACAGTTCACTTTATGAAGAAAAATTGTTGAAAGAAACAGTAATGAGGATTAATGGAAGAGCATTATGGCTTTTGTGATTTTATTTTCCCTAAACCAAATGGTTCCATTATAGAGTATTATTTATCGTTTACACAAAACTGTCAGTGCAGACCGCAAGAAAGAAGTGAGGTATGTTGATGATGATGACTAGCAGAGGGACCCAGGATGAACGTTTCGTCCCACTTAAGACTCGTCAGCTAGATGTACTCGCACCTCAGTGCGGAGTGATGTTGTTCCCACATGGGATTGAACTCACTACCTATCGCTTCAGACGCCAGACCGTTATCCACTAAGCCATTGGGGCACGATAAACACCCCTTATGCAACGGGTACCAGTTATTATTATCATACTTATAATTTCCTGTTGCTATACTGGGCTGCATTGCTTGACCTCTGTTGACGGATGGGCTCCTATACGAGGCATACGACGCATTCATGTAGGAACTGATTTCCCTACAGAGGTTGGGCAATTCGGCTCTGTATAGCAACAGGAAATTACAAGCATCATGACATCAAAAGAAGTGAGCTGTCTACTAGTTCCTCTAGTAGCTTATCATGACAAATTCAAAATATAGTTGGTTACTGCTTTTATTTGTGCTGTGAATGATTGGACATACACGTTTTGATTGACTGTTTCATTCACTCAATATCTGAAATAGTATTTGTTTATGAGATTCTCTATAGATTGATAAATTGAGTTGCTGTTCATACATCTATTGACTGGGCCTGCCATAAGAATCAAATTTCTAGAAATTCTTCAGGATTGTTGAGTTTTATCTTGTCTAGCATTTTCACGTACATAATTGACTCCACGTATTAGTACCAGGAAGGTTATGTTGTAGTGGTCAAGAGTATAATGATTTTCACCATGAAGTAAGCGCATAGGGACATTATTCTGTTGAATGCACTCTTTATTACGATCATTGTATTTTATTTTCCCAACGGCATATAGTCTATCCTCGATAGGTATTGAATTTTCCGGTTATTAAGCTGTACGTAGTAAGAAAGGCCTCATTTGTTCTGTTCATAGTAGATATTTTAACTGTCAATACATGCGAAAATCATCTTTTGATAAAAATTCATTGCAAACCGTTTTTCCTTTCTTCATGAAGTATTTTTTGCCTTTCTGAGTAAAGTTTTGCAGAAAACTAGTTTTGTATGGTTTTGAGTTACTGTCACAGTAGCTTAGAAATCGATCACTCGAGTCACACATACTTGAGTTTCCAGTACCCCTATGCTGGGTCCACTCATTAGCATTTCTAGGAATGAAACCTCTTTATCCAGTCTCTTCTCTGTCATGAATATGCCGAGATAGAAAAAAATTGATTAGATTGTAGTTGTTTTCTGTCTTGTCCTGTGAGTAATTACAATCTTCATTCGATAACTGTGACTAGCAGAAGAACCACTTCGGATATGAATGGTTGTTCTTTAGTTACTGCTTCAGTTAGACTATTCGTAGTATCCAGTTATTGACAAGTTTCTACCTGGCTCTTAGGTAAATTGTTCTTTGGATAATGTTGAGAAGAGCATAGTCAGACTTCACTGTGACAATCCACTTTGTGAGCACTCAAAGGAGGAGGAGAAAACAGAAGACAGAAATCACTGACGGTTTGTTTAATCACTTCAGTGATTGAAGGCAGATACTATTGAAACCTGTCAGAGGCATGCCTTTTCATACTCTTTAAAAGCATACATTTCAAACCGTTTGTAGACTGATGTATTTCATGACAGTGGTATCTATGGCCATTTGTACCACTTAGAAATTCGACCAATCAGATTTCAAAGCTAAGTGATAAAACTTGTCTTGGTATTAAGAAAATGACAAAGTAAGGTAATAGTGAAAGTAATGAACAATACTTTGTATTACTGAAAATATGATTGTAAAAAGTAGTCAAAAAAAAAAAAAATCAAAACTCAAATCAGAATTGGTTAACCAGAGTAGAATAGGTAGATGTGAGACCAACAGTGGAAACCTGTTTAGGACTCGTCAGCTGGATTTACTTGTCTCCTGGTAGGTGATGTTATTCCTATTGAGATTGGAAAGTAAAACCAATCGCCTCAAATCCCAGAGCATTATTCAATAGGCCAATGAGTCACGATAGCCACTGTTTATACGATGCATATGTTATGACTTATACATCTCCATTGCTGATTGGACTGAATTAATTAACCACTACTGACATATGAGGTCATGGGTGAATGCTTCAATATTGTCGATACTTTACCTCAGACTATACCATCTTTTCATTCTTATTTTGAATTCTTAAGTATGAAAAAATTCATTAAGTTTTCATTTCTCTATATTTTTTTTTTAAAACTCGCAATTCCTTGAAAATTCATAATATATTTATACTTTAAGTATCATTCACAATTTGGCAAAGAATTTACTTGATTTTTCACTTACATTTTTATCATTGTTAAAATGGAATGTTTATATTTGTGAATATTCTTGTCAAAATGATGATATATACATATTCTAATTATGCTTTAAATTTCATTCTATTTTCAATTCATTCATCGAATTTAAACAAATGTATTCAATGTTCAAGCTGTTGTACATTTTTTTGCATTTGTTTGTTTTCTGGAGAAAAAAAGATAAGTGTAATTACTTTTAGTATTTGAGAAATTCTTTGCTTAAACAAGTATCATTTGTCATAAATTATATTGACTAAAATGACAATAGGAAGCTGAGAAGTTCTTCAAAGTGATCAATTTACGTACAATGAGAAAATGAAGATTAAGTGGGTTTCATTATAGAAACAATATGAAGACAACTATTTTGAGTTAGAAAATCTATGTTGCTTAACCATTGAAGAAAGATATCTGGAGAAGTTAGATAATTTTGTTGCTTGTATTATCTTGTTGTTGAAATAGACTGGTCTGTGTTGGGATATGGGACCTGGATGGATGCCTCACTAGTGTCTTTCATTCAAATTTCCACCGTAATTAAGGATAATGGCAAGGAGTGGAATCCAAAACGAGCGTTTTATACTTTTTGGGACACAACAACTAGATGTACCTAATTGGGAGGTGAGTACATGTGTCTAACGGGTCCTGGATTCGACTACTACTTACTATCCATCATTACCAGGAGTTATTTAGCGCAAAATCACATTTTAACAACTGACAGTAAATGTCACACTTGATCAATACCTTATCCTAAACATTCAAGTCAGCTATGTAACGATAATTTTTTTCTGATAGCTGGTTTGGTGCTGTCTAAGCTTTGATATTGTTTCATGGTTGTTTCATCACAAGGCTTCGTGATATTCTTAGCCCAAAATTAACGTAAGGTGTAAGTGACTTTATAGGCTAACCTAGCAAAAAATGAAGTAATCAATCAGATCTCGTTATTTTGTTCAAGAAATTACCCTCTTACAAAATAGAGAAATTTAATTGGTTACGTAGGCAGTTGTTACGGCGGCCTTGAAAGTCACTTGTTCATATGGCATTCTTTGCAAGGCCACCTTAACAACTTCTTAGGAAACTAATTAAGTTCTTCTATTTTATGAAAGACAACTTTTTCGGCCAAAATGCTAAGACCTGATTGGTTATTTCATCAGCTTCATAGGATGTTTTTAGTTGCCCACTCGATACTTATCCAGTGCATGAATCTCAGTGGCGTTTATATGTCTTAGTGGATTCTCACTAATTGTTCGACTAAATCCAATTGATTGGTTCTATTTAGACCTCAATAACTGAATTTATTTACTGTATTCTGATAAGTCACTATGCTTTAATGAGATGAATGGGGATTTTAATTTTGAGGTAGTATACATACCATACATCCCATACTTTGATTTTTATGGCGTTTTCTCCTATTCCGTGTTGACTTTCGTAAGCATATAGAACGGAAGCTATGATCAACATCTACTTCACAGTGATGCTGAAATTCCCTGATCTGAAAGCGATTGTACTAAGTATTACTTTGAAAGATTTTTAAAAAAGTAGTTTAGACAACTGTTTCGTACTAGTATGGGACTCCTCAACAGGGCGTACTCATGAACCTAGGACCTGAAGGTCCTGAGTTCAATCCCTGGCTGCTGCAAGTATCATCAATGTGGTTACATGGTCTTTAATCTACTGCATGAATAAACGTAGAGTAATGAAATCACATGATCACCTAGACAGGTAAGTTTTTTTTTATTCTATTCATATTAGTATGAAATTAGCTGCTATACCATGCAGTTGATCTCTATTTCACCACAGAATAGAATTTCAATAAAATGATGACGACTATCAATTCAAGTTAAAGTATACCAATCATCTTAAATTTTAATCCAATAAAATAGTTAGTCAGAAGCACATTCCCTACTACAAAAAAAGAAAATACAATGATGGTATAATAATAATAATAATAAGTAATGTTATTGATACGATTTTATTTATCTTCAGATCTGATTTCAATGGGTCAAGGGACAATATTCTATCATCTTCATTCTGGAAATTATACAAATCTCTTAGAACATCCTGAATTGAACAGTATTTTTGTCATTGGAAACAGGTGAGACTGTTTATAGACTAAAGTCATCATGTGTAGTGTATTATTAATTTTTTTTCGTTTGTGTATGTTATGATTTCGAAAACTGCTGTATGCTATGACCGCTAACGATGCACGAATATCTAGTGTCAACCATCAACCTTCAACTATTTCCTAGTTGATTCCCGACCTGACTAACTAGTTGAGAAGACACGATAGACGCGTAGAAACGTGTATTGAAGTCGAAAGACCGAAGACCCAAAAGCAAAGGGAAATAGATTTCATATATAGATGATTCGCCGTTTAGGATGGTCCTGTTGATTGTCTGATCCACAGTTTACCTGTCTAACTATAGACGTGTTCACACAAAGTAGATTGTGATCGGTCACTCTCCAGACTGGGCTTTTTCTCTATCCCCATATCACCTCCCTCTTCGAAAAAATATTATTTGGGATCAGACTGGGCCACATTGTCTTTTCCTTGCATCTGTTTAACTGGCGCAGAGGGATTTTCTGTTTGTTAACTGGGGGATCAGTAGTCTTTCCGATATTTCTTCGGCGGGTAGCAGCATGAGCATGAAAATCAGCGATCGAGAATGGGATCTGCGGCGGCACGTAGAGGGTGATCTTTGCACACATCGTTGTGTGTGTTGGCGGCAAAAACCGTTCTTGTGTTTAGGTGGGCAAGATTTGACGGAATGTCAGGCACTACAGTGCCACCAAGGCGACGAGGGTGTCTTCTTTGAGGGTCGATTGGTATCTCAAGAGTTACTGGCCCGATGAACAGGTGAGATAAGACCAGGCGTTGTGTGACCAGAGGGCGATGCAGAGGAATGAGATGTTTGGCAAACTGTATGCACTTCAGAACCGCCCTGGCGTCTGGATTGTGCTAAACTTGTATCACTCTGCAGGTTACTCAGTGGTTGATATTCTGGACTGTGGCGTCGAAAGTGCGATCACGTGGGTTTTGCGGTTTTCAGTACTGGCCGAGCTAAGGTGGAGTAGGTCGAAGTAGGAGACGTACCCGTCAGGAATCATCTTGATCATCCAAATCCAGTTTGAAGTAGTTTTCGTGACTACTGAACCAAGCACCGAAAGTTTCATTGGCATCAGGATCGTGGTGAAATTCAGTGATGCTATTGGCAATGTCGTCAACTGAAGGAGATATTAAAAGCAATGATTTGGTACCAGAAAATTTGAATTGTGTTATGACCTCGACAATCCTCATTTGTCGTTCTAGGAATTTTTCCAACTTCGAAGAGTCCATTTCCCAATATCCCATTTCCGTCGCCACTACTATGCGCTATGATAGTTAACGATTCACGGGTATCACCTTTCATCCACCAACGTTCGACAATTTCCTAGTTGATTACCGACGTGACTAATTAGTGGAGAAGACATGATGGACGTGTAGCGACGAGCATTGGGGTCGAAAGTCCGAAGACCAAAAACAAAGGAAAATAAAGCTAATATACAGATAGTTGGCTGTTTAAAATAATCCTGTTGATTGGCTGATCCACCGTCTGTCTGTCTGTCTATCTAACTGTGTAGACGTGATAACATAAATTACATTCTGATTGGTCCCTCTCCAGACTAGGCTTTTCTCTCTCTATCACCATCTGAGTGTAATGTGTGGTGTAGTATATATAATGAGTTATTCAGAAATTTATGTGTGATAATAACACTTTGTTGCTCAGTATATTACTTATGAGCACAAACTTTTGTGCGTGAACAATAAATTTTTAGGGAAATCACCGGATACATTAAAGTCCTCAGCCCTATTAAATGACATCGTTAATATATGAATGAAAAAACTATGTATGTCATCATCAGTGTATTCTGTTAAAAAAGATCACATCACTGACAGCTACCATTTGAGCATTTTTATTATTTATAGGGGTTTCATTTATTCGACGGTACTATTTATCACGAATTGACATCATTTGGAGAGAACTATACAAAAACTGGAAGCACTGTTTCGTCCTAGTACAGGATTCTTCAATTGTACGTGCCCATGACTTCACCAGGAGTTGAACTCAGAACTTTCAGGTATCGTGGTGAAAGCTTCAATCATTCAGCCACTGGGTCAGAGTTCAGTAGTCCACAGCTCCCTACTTCTGTCAATTAGTAATATAATGCAACGATCTGTCAAGTTGTTGAGTTGGTATCTATTTCATTTCTAACTGGATGACTCCACAGGTCACGACCTCTAATTAGAATTTCAGGATATCCATCTGGAAGCGTTTCACTAAGCAACACTGTACAATAACTTATTTTAAGGTTTATATACAAATGCATAAGTTTAATGTACATAAGAAAACGAACTAGTAAGAAACACTCAGTAAATTAATCCACTGAAACGCCAATCTGCCCATAACGTTGTTCTGGTTATAGAGCAGTGAAAACCAATATCTGAAGCCCAGAAACTTCTGTCGAAGTAGTTGGTGGCTTAAAATGTTGCTTTCCATTTCTGCCAATGTTGGAGGGCCCCAGTTTTGCATGGAACATTGTTATTGATATGAACATTTTTTTAACTTGTTGTTTTCCCAGCATTTTTTACGATACGGATGGTATTTCATTTTCTACAGATGACTTTAGAGTGTCTTTAAAGACCATGCTAGCAACTGATGAAACAACCAACCACGTTTCTGTATTCCATCAAAAATTAGCTTTCGAGACAAAATAACCAATCAAGTAGTGGTGTTTTGTCTGGAAAGACAGTTTTTACAGAAACAGAGAGGTGACTGGTTGTTTCATCGGTTGCTAAGGTGGCCCGTAAGTCAATCTTTCCTACCCCATTTGCAATGTAATCCGCTGATTGTTTAATGTTTAATTTTGCTGTGTTAATATCTCAATATGCAGACAGGGTCATATCTCATGTGCATGCACATACTAGGTCGACTTTAAAGGTTGCCCTAGCAAATGATGATACAGCCAATTATATTCCTTTATTTTAAGGGATTATCCTTTTTTAGGAGAAATATAGAAGCGTGATTGGTCATTTTAGCAGTTGCTAGGATGGCCATTAAGGTCACTCCACATACTCACATGTGATTTAGGTTGAGTGATTATTATTCTCGGTGGAATAAACCCTCTAATCCAGGTTCGGTTTTCTTCCTCTATTCGTCCGGAGTTGCAGTCAATGGCTCTTGTGTACGAAGTTAGCTGTCAGTTAAGCGTGTGTATTATATCCATTCGGAATGTGTAACAGCCACTTTCTATGAATACAGCTTGTATTATGCATTTTTACCGTATATTTCTTACAGTTTGATCACAGATATTTACTTATTAGGGCATTTTATGTGAGTATCGGAAATAGAAGGAGGTTGAATGACACAAATATGCTAGTGAAGGAGCATTCTTAAGTCTGCTGAAGCGTAAGCTATGTGCAAATTTAAATCCTTCGTTTGTCTATTAAGAAACTACTTTTCTTTGCACTAAACTTACCCTGATGATATTTATCGTTACTTATTAATATCAAAATTAGTTTGAAAACTTATAATTCACTCTGTAGTACCTTTATTATTCACAAATCGCTGATCAGTATATACATTTCAGATGAATTTCTTGTTATTCTAATAAACAGAGTACATCGGCAAGTGAATATATATTTGATTAGATTGTTCGAAATGTTTGTTGTTCATTCATCACATTAATGATGGATCGTGGCCAGCAGTGGAATCCAGGGTACGCATTTCGTCCTATTTGGGACTCGTCAGCTGGATGTTCCTGCTCCCCAGTGAGTGATGTTGTTCCCACCGGGATTCGGACTCGGGAGCGATCGCTTCAAACGCCAGGGCGTTTTCCACTACACCACCTAGCCACGATAGCCACTTCTTGTGCGACGGGTATAATTTTAGTATAATTGTTTTTACATGATACCGTCGTTGATTAGACCGAATTGATTGGTCTCTATTGGCATATGGGCTCCTGTGCGGACGCCTCGATATTGTCTGCGTTCTAACTGTGTTAATGATGGATCTTGGCTAGCAGTGGAATCCATCACATCGTTATGATCAACTTTGTCTTTTAATTACACTGTCGAAGTTCATAAAATGATTGATTTCTTCAAGTTATATTGTTCTTGATAGTTATATCCTATCATATTACTGAATATCATGGGTTACATTCTTAAGAGAAAGTTAAATGTCCTTGAAATTATAGGATGACTATACGCATCACATCTTATGAACACAAAAGCATTCTAATTTTGGGGAATTATATTTCTCAGTATTGACCCACTATCTTTTGTACCACAGCCATAGAGTGAGTATTTATCAGTGGGTCTTACTAGATTTATGTCTAGCGTTACAACATACTAGGCTGATGGTTGAGTTAATTACTTTACATAAGAACTTTGTGACTGAAAATGAATGTCACCTTAACAACTATTGAATGAATTTTGAGGGGGTTGTGGGGATTTGGAAATATTTCAAGTTGGTATTCATCGTAGACTGACATCAGTTGGAGGAACAAAGGAAACCTGGGAGGACTGGACAGCTGTTTCGTCCCAGTATGGGACTCCCCAGCAGTGCGCACCCATGACCCCGCCAGGAATCGGACCTGAGACCTTCAGACTCCGTGACCAGCACGTTACCATTGAGCCAGTGGGTCGGGAACCAATGGTCCATATTTCCAACTTCTGTTAGCTCACGGGTCAGGCCACAGGTTCGATCCTTGGTGGGGTGGTGGGTGCGCACTGCTGGGGAGTCTCGTACTGGGACGAAATACCTGTCCAGTGCTCCCAGGTTTCCTTGTTCCTCCAACTGATGTCAGTCTACGATGAATAACAACTTGACTTAATGAATGGTCAATTATATATCTATTTTATCTGAAAGGGCAGTTTTTCATAAAATAAAAAACATCAATCTCCCATTTCAGTAGTCATTAAAGTAGTCTTTGGAACCACTGTTGAATTAACCATTTAGAGTTATGCATTTTTATGGAAAAACTACTTTTCCAGTGAAAATAACAGAACTTAGTTGGCGATTTCAGTCGTTGTTAAGATAGCCTTTGAAGTCACTTAGTTTTCCCATCAGATATATCGATCACTTTGATCCAGTAAGATTGACAGCAAACTGTAAGTATTGCCTAAGTGGCCCGATGGATAATGCTCTGATGTTTGAAGCGATGACTATGAGTTTCGAGTTTCAGTGAGATCAACATCACTATCTTGGGTGCAGGTACATTCAGCTGATGAGTCCTAAACAGGACGAAACACAAGTCTTGGATTTGGTTGCTAGTCACCACCAATTAAATCAAAATTAATTTTTGATATTTCTAACCTTCAATCATTTCACAATGAAGCATGATCGTCACTCAGTGTATTTGGTCAGTGTTCATCTTCACTCTTAATAAACTGTTTAACTTCAGGTTGGTATTGATCATGAAGTGGCATCAGTTGGAGAAACATTGGACGTCTGGGAGCATTGGGATGTTATTTTGTCCCAGTATGGGACTCCACGACCCTGCAAGGGATGGAACCCAATGTTTCTCCAACTGATTCCATTCCGTGATGAATACCAACCTAAAATCAATAAATAACCCCTCAGAAACCTCCAAATTAAATTAATTTGATGCTCATTGGTTATTCGCTTCCGGAAATGATTCCTAAAGTCCCAATGAGAAGTCGTGAGTGGTGGGGTCAACCAAGTTGAAAATGAAGACAGTTAGTCAACGACGCCATAGGATAATGGTCACTCTATGCTGTGAACTGATAAACCTCAAAACTGAAATTGTTTATTGTCGATGTTTTGAAATATGCATTTTGAAGTAAGTCAGTGAATAATATCTTATTATTTAGTGATGTAGTCTGTCAGTTATTCATTATAATGAAGATAGTTTGTACCATATATCAATAGCAGCTAAATAACTGACCAGTCATTTACTAGTTCCTAACTTCAGTCTTCTATATGACAGAATCTAAAAGTAATCTGCTGAAAATTAAGGCCAAAAAATGGTGAATAAATAGTCAATGAAAGCAATAAATTATCAAAAGTTTACCAATGTAAAAACAAAACAAAGCAAAATTGTTCTACAGTGTTTTCCAGTCCTACATGAGGAAAGTTGGGACCCAAATAGCTCGATAGTGATATCATTAACTAAAATTCTGGGTGACGCGCATTCGAATCTCGTAGGGACATCACTTTCCTGGAAGTCATAGATATACCTTACTGATGTATGGGAAAAAGCATGAAACGCTGATGAAGCAAGGTTTCTTCCTGATTGCCACTAAACAAACAAGAATTTAGATATTATTCTCACATTATTAGTTCCTATATTAGTGCACTTCATCAAATTCATGACAAATCTGTATTGTATCCATATGAAAATCGGCTGTTACTAATTCGCTAAAACACTTTGTCACCTTCACTTTGGTAACTTCTATTGAGGATGGGTAACATCAGAAGGGGGAAAATGCTCAGGAATAGATGGATGTTATTAAGTTCAAATTCTGTTTCATATACCCTAATCACTCCTCATCATAGCAATATTTATCTTAGGTTTTCTACTAACTAAACTTCTTTATAAAAGTCATGATTATCAGATAGATTATAGATTTAGAACAAAGACTTATCCAACAGTTTAATCAGAATAGTGGATTCTATTTATACTACTGTTGAACAACTTGAGTAGTTAGAAACCACTCAAGATGTTCTGAAGATTTCACCAGCCCAGATCAGATTGATCTAAACACCTCACTCTTTCATCTGGCTAGCGAGATCGATAGATCAGATGGAATGGTTTTGTAACTATCCAAGTTATTCAGTAGTAGTATAACTCATTAGTTCATGATACAACCCTGTCAGAGATCACACCTTCTGATCTTGGCTGGCGATGGAGATTTTCGATGGGAATCCTGTTGACTAGCACTACAGTTGAAAAACTACTTAGCTGTGAGAAATGGCAAGGTGGACAGTGAAATTTGTAAACCATTTGCAAACTGATTATCCTAGTGAATTCTCATCATCATTCAGTTTCATACAGACAATGAAAATAGTCTCATAAACTGACTGAACTGACGAACGGGGGATAGAGTAAAAGTGATATCATAGTAAACAAAGTTTTATGAGAAAATAAACAATCTGAAGATGAAGGATGCTGCAAATATCCAAGCTTTAGAAGACGTCAAGGAGTGAATACATACGCATCATTATGACTGATTTTCAACGATGTTACCAACAGTCCTCAACCAATCATTCCTATCGTCTCCGAGACCCCAACCAGACAGTCTACATCTCCCCACTCAACTCACACCAACATCTACGGACTTCATCAATTGGTGCCAGCCACATCTTGGTCTGTCCACTTCCAACCCTCTTCCAACCTAACCGAACTTCTCCTGGCATCGCACACCGAAGTAGGTGGTGACTTGGCATACTCAGTACATTTCGAAGCCATCTCAGTCGACTAAGGTTCACAATCTCATCAATCGACTTGCCAGACCTCATCAGGTGCCTATACAGTGATTTTCCCAAAGGCGAGCAATGCTACTAAGAGATCTGTGATCGAAACCGAGTAATCTCTTTTTGTTTTCTTTTTTAACGGCGATGTCTAATAGGCATGCAAGAGGACAGGACGAACTGTGGTGTAGTATAGTCGTCCTTTGATAGATAGTCGGATGTCTCACCAGTCGACGTCAGAGATGACCCAACTTGTCAACTGGCGAATGAACCTTCTCTATGCAACTCCGAGATACCAATAACTTGTTATTGGTCAAATCATTGACTATATGTTTAAACTGGTTGTTGTCTATTTACCAAACTCGAAGTTTAATTTTTATATTGCTTGCAGTAGATACAAAGTTAAAGGAAGGTTGAAAGTGAGAAGGGATTTCCAACAAACTACAGACATTCATCAACAACTGCCGCCTACGCTGGCTCGTTGCTGAAGGTCACATGGACAGAATGATAAGAATAAGCAACAAGGAACTCTAGGAACGAACCAATGAAGCAAGAACCTATGGCCCAACAAATATGCACTGGAAGGAAGTGGAGATGGATTGGAATGGGCATACAATGAGAAGGCCGACTGGGGACATAACGCGTCAGGCCAGCGCCTCGAGTGGAACTCCTATGGGAAGTGACGAGTTGGGTGTCCGAGGTGAGGGTGACATGGAGGAGATCGTGTGAGGAGGAAATGAGAGCATGTGGGCTGTCGTGGAGGCAGGTTCAAAAGATTTCAGAGAAGAGAGGGTATTACAGATGTGCTACTGAATCCCTATGTTCCATTAGGAACCCAAGGGACAAATAAAATAAATAAATGAAAATGAGAAATTCAGCTCAACCCTTTGAATTTCTAATTTAGCTTGTAACCAATATACCACCGATATAACTTTTCATGAAAATCTATATCATTCTATACAACAGTTTTCAATTATCATTCTAGGAATGCAATGTTTCGTTTGAATCCAGATAATCTTCAACTATTGGCCAGTTTCGAATTGCCTTCGAAACCAGAAACTTCATTCTGTATGACGAATACCAAAGTGAGTGTGTGTGTGTGTGTTTGTATATATGCATATTACATGATTTTTAATTAATTTCTTCTAATTATTACTTCTACTATTGCTACAATGGAGTAGTTATGATAAAATTTTAAAGGAAATCATTATAATATTTAAAACTGAACAGGTAATTTCAAGATTACTCGCTTTTTGTATTGAACATTTTATCTACGGCTAATAATTTTTTGTAGGCATTACTTTATTTCTTTGATGAGGGACAAAACAATCCGATGTGTTATAACCGAAAATGAATCATTTTTAGGGAATTTTTGTCCTACCGTGTTTCCGTTTTTAGCGTCTTTGAAGGACGCCCTAAAGGAGTATGAGAAGTAGATGTACGCACAATACGTTGTGCGAGATTCACATTTTCAAGGTGACCGAGAAACTTATGTTAACTTTCGTTGTTTTATGGCTATTGAACACCGGTAAATGGGAAGAGTAGTGGCAAGAAGGTCAGTTCTGTTTATTTTGATTGTATGTTTCATAGAATATCCCTGAAATGCTCTTTGCCGGCATTCGTGCTTGACAGGTTTACGGACAGTAACTCAGTGGCTGTTAACTCACAATCATCTCTGCAATTCTCTACTTTACAGCAATAGTTCTTGGGCGAGGAAGTTGATGGCAATTGAATTGGATAGCATAAGGCCAATGCTAATATCCGGCATGGCCCCATTTAATGTTGTTGATTTCGTTTATGCACACTATGGTAAACGACTGAATAATCAAGATGTGTTCAATATGCGTTATCATCTCTTCCCTCTGTGTAATTTTACCGGTAACTGAATTTTCCCATGAAGCGAATTTGTTTTATGCAGCTATGAAAAGTTGCTGGAGCACACAATCAGTCAAAGTGGATCAGCTTCTTTTTCTGTCACACAGGGGGTTTATCTGAAATACGTTTTATTCCGCTACAGCCGACCAACTGAAATTTGCTGAAAAATGTCTTGATCTTCTGGGTCTCGATGGCAATTATAAGACTAATAATGAGAACCTTTTTCTTTACAAGTACGTAACCATTTCAGAAAAAGGCAAACTGTACCGGAAGTGAATTTCTACTTCATGACGAGAAGTGAACGGGCAAACGCCTTTCTCAGAACCATCATAAATGTGTCTTCTTTCATTCTTTGAAATAAATCAGAAGTGATGACCCATGTTTTACTACTTCACTTTAGAATCGAATGAATGTAGCACAAAATAGTACATCTTTAACAAGTGTATAAGACGCTTGTAGATACACTCTGTACAGTATTCCTGAAGTGACTTTCAGAATAAAGCCATCATTATCATTATCATTATTATTAGTGGTTATGTTACTCTAAAGCTACTTATATTCTCTATTTAAGTAGTATTCCATACATTTTGCTAATTTTCATCCTTTTTCCTTTTTTTCATCTAATATCATTATATAAACATCATGACTGCCAATGATAAATACACAAAAATAAATTTATAAACAGGCTCCATGCACTGAGACACCAGCGTTTAACTTATTATTACCAACTCAGGATAAACAAAATATTTGGTATTGTTATCTTTATCAAACAGTTTATATGAGCCATAATATTATACCAAATATACAATCGGCAAGATGTGAAATACCTTCAGTAAGTTGTTACTTTAATTTTACTTTAATATGAAAGTATACTTTAAAACTGTCGACATTACTGATGGTGTTGTAGAACGTGAAATTGCTTGAGGGTAGAGGGGGTGGAAATAACCGAACTATCAGTATGACAATATCACTTATAAAATGTAACCATTGTGTTCTTTCAAGAATTTGGGATACTTTTATTCAGTTATCCAATAGTTCACTCCTCTGATTGGTCAATTTTATTTGTTTAAATTTACAGTTGTAGTATAAATAATCATAATTTATTTGTGTTATAATCTTCTAGTTTTTATTCGCAACTATTGATAAATTCAGATGGATGTGTTATTTGTTTGATAGTGGTTAGCAGTGGAGGTCAAGATACACTTTTCACCTTGTTTAGGACTTATCAGCCGGATTTACCTGCATTCCAATGAGTAATGGAGTTCCTACTGAGATTTGAATCGGTCGTTTTGAACGCCAGAGTGCTACGCACTAGGCTACTAAGGCATGAAAGCCACCTTTTTTACAACCGGTATCAGTTATTATTGATTGAGTCATCAGAAACCAGTGAGGTGTAATGCTAGAGCTCATAAACCAAGCCATACAACAGCGTTATCAAATAGGCTTTATAAAGAACACAGTTTAAAAACGATAAGAAAATACGATCACTGATGTCTATCTGAGATTTACATTTTCGACTTTTTGGCTGATATGACAAAAAGGCAGAAGTTTAACGCAGTAAACTATTTAGTGCTATTTATATTTGCATGAAATTGTTAAACTGTTTTTTTAATTCCCTTAAGCAGAAACCTACAGCAACTGATAGATAGTGGGATGCAGAGAATTACTTCCAGCTAAATTATACACTATAGGGTAAAATAAAGCTTAGTAATATTGTAGAATCAGTGTAAAAGCAAGAGGGGATAATTCACTGGCAGTAATGAGTTGTTATTCCCAGAAGAAAAAGTAGATCTCCATAGAGACATCCTTTCGTTTTTATCAGTGACAAAATGTACTGATCGCATTTGGTGCTAACTGTCGACAGAAAAACCCATCATACATTAGTCATATGCTTATAACATTGAGTTACAGCACACAATGGTATGTTGAAACTACTATAACATATCCCATAGGATTAATGGATACACTAGATAAATCGTCCAGCTTCCCCCATATTGGATTATTTGACTTGATAGACTGCATACAGTGATACAGTATTATCTACTGGGTAATCTTTCTACCAGAGCTAATCGCTTATAATCATGTGAAAGTAATAACAACTTTGATAATTAGAGTGATTTTAAAAGCCATCTAGGTAACTACTGAAATTAACCAATCAGGTTTCAGTCTTCCGGCCAGAAAGGTGATTTTTCATAATTTAAAGAAATGTAATTTCAGGCTGGTATTCATTATGGAGAAACATTGCAAACCTGAGGACATAAGACAGTTGTTTCGTCTTAGCATGCGACTCCTCAACAGTACACATCCTTGGTCCCACCAGGAATCCAAATAAGGACCCCCAGTTTCCGGGCTCATCAAGATACCACTGAGCCACAATATAATGCTACCCCTATCCAATGCTATCGTTGAGTAACTGTTCTCATGTTTCATGGTGAATGGCCAATAGAAATCACCGAATAGATCCCCAGAAACTTCCGAATTGAATTAATATGGTGCTCATTTCTCACTCGCTTCGGGAGATGATTCCCGAAGTTCTAATAAAAGTCTTGACTGGTGGGGCGAATCATGTCGGATATGAGGACAGTTACTCAATGACAACATTGGATGGGGGTCGCGCTATATCGTGAACTGACAGAAGTAAGAAATATGGACTAGTGGATTCTGACCTAGTGGCTCAGTGGTAATGTAATAGCTATGAAACCTGAAGTTTCTAGATTGGATCCGTGGTGAGATGAGGTCATGGGTGCGCACTGTTGATGAATCCCATACTGGGACGAAGCAGCTGCCTTGTTTCCCAAAGTTTTCAACTTTTCTTTAACTGATGTCAGTTCATGATGAATATCAGCCTAAAACAAATCACTAAATCCTCACAAATCTCCAAGTGGAAAAGTAATTAGTTATCTCAGCAGTTACTAAGGTGGCCATTAAAGTCAATGAACAATTCTTCGTACTTTAATTTCAATGGTACTAAAGCTTTGCAAATATCTACAATGTATAATGAATTATTACTGCTACGTGTGTTGGGCGTTGACTTGATGGAAAAGTATTCACTAAATAACCTTGTCCACTACTTAGTTATATTGAATTATTCTAGAACTGTTAGCCTAACTATCTCTGTAGTGTAATTATTGCTTAGTGTATACAGAACAATAACTGAGTATTTTTAACAGTCACTTACCTGAGTAAGGTCTATCATTCTGTATTTTGCCAGGTATTTTATGCATACTACACTAACTTGACCTTATAATCATTGTATTGTATTGATCAGATCAGATTATTTCAATGAATTTGACCAACTGAACCTTTTGACCTAGACATTTCTCTTAAAGTGAATTTTTTGGCCTAAATGTCAGCCCATTCCAATCATTTTTAAGAAGCTTTCATAGAATTTCTTTCATCATTTCTTCAAATGACAACACTACAAATGATTTGAATTCGATTACTGAAGTGTTTTACCAAGTCTTCTTTGAAAGATATAGGATGAGACGATATGAAATCTAAGTTTTTATTCTAATGTGTTGGTTTGCTATAAACTCTGGTACCTGGATTGTCATCTTCTGAGTGACCTTGACGGTTACCTTAACAACTGCTGAGATAACTAATTACATTTCTTTACTTTATCCAAAATTACCTGATTGATTATTTCAGTAGTTTCTGGGGTAGCTCTTAGAGTTACTTCATATTCTCTTCTCTTTATTTCTTAATGTAACATAGGTGGTTCTCCTTCTTCATTTTATAAATCATAAACCAATTAATTTCCATCTTCCATCGAGTTAATGTGTGTAAAAACTCTGAATATGTTTTTATTTCGACATCATCCCGTAAATCGTACTTTATTGCTGTGTGTTATGTTGAATAAATAATCTAATATGGAATAACGGTTTTTGCACTGCTCGAAGCTTACTCTCTCTCTCTCTCTCTCTCTCTCTCTCTCTCTCTTACATTAATAAACCATGTGGCATTTCACCTCTATGCTGAAGTGAAATTAAGTGAAATGAATTCACTAAGTATTGGTAAGGGAATAATGTTTCAATAAACAAATGATAATTCAGAGTGACTTGTTCTCTGAAATGAGGTTTCGGTTAGCAAACATTTCGGTATCATGCCAGACACCGTCAATAGTGAATCAGAGCTTCACGAGGTTGTGAAGTTATTGGTTGTGCATGAATATTTATAACATGCTACAATCATATAATTGTACACTCCTGTGCGGAAACTGGAGATAGGAAGCCAACCAATCAGGTCCAGCATACGTCGATACACTCACCGAGTGACCAATCATATTTCCCCTCAGTCAAAATAGCATGTTATAAATAACTATGCAAAACCAATTATTTCACTTCCTTGTGAAACTCTGATGACAGTGTCTAGGATGACATTGTAACATTTGCCGACCAAGACCCTAGTTCAGAGAACAACTCACTGGAAACATTCCCACTCTGACATAAATATATTCGCCACAAATGATAATCCGCAAACGTTTTGGAATTTTCAAATTTTAATGGGATGCATTGTTAATTTCTTGATTTAGCCTCTAAATTTAGAACCTGAATCACGTTTAGTTCAATGGGAGAATTCTGTTTACTCTTCATTAGATTTAAATCGTCCAGGTGTAAGTTTAATGGCTAGTGATGGTTTCCTGTATAGTTCTGGTTGGTTTCATGGAGCAATGAGAATACATCGTTCACGTTTACCGAATTTTGATGGACAAGCTAACTGGAACCAGTTTCTTGCAACTCCTTCCGATGAAGTCTTTTTAAAAGGTAAATTGTCTTACCATGCCTTGAAGTCTATGATTTAAAGATTTTCGTAATATATATTTTAAGCTGACTATTGTAACTTGGAAAATCAATAAAAAACCAATTACGCATATTTTAAGTATTTAGTCTTAGTTCACAACATCTCATGGATGATTGTCCCTCAATGTAATTCATCAACGATCAAGATGTTTTTACAGTATATTGGTGCGTTTTGGTAGTTATGAAAGTTAACGCTGTTGTCAACTAATCAATATTTATACTGGGTGATGATTAGAAATAAAATAAAAATTTGGACCGTGGCTGGATTTCAACCAGTGACCACCACATTCCCGACCTCTTAGCTCAGTTGGTAGAGCACCAGGCAGGATACCTGGTGGTCACTGGCTCGAATCCAACTGTGGTCCGAATTTTCATTTCATCTTCAATCATTATCCAGTATCAATACTTGTCTGTCAAACCAAGGCTATCTCAGCTAGTCAGAATGAAAACCAATATTTACCTGTTTCGGTTCGTATTCATGAATTGTGCGGTTAAAAAAGATACTGAGCAAAGGTGGATATCGATTAGAAAGTCTTTTGGCGAATATCGAGTAGTAAAAAGATACTTTATGTCATACTACGACAACGATAGAGAATATCTGTAGTTCAGGGGGATAGTTTTGATGGGGTTGTGTTCTCTGAACTGAATTGCTTAATCGTGAAGCTTTCATTGTTATTCTAGAGAACACTATCAGAAAATTCAGAAAGAAGTGAGCGATAAAGTTCTCCCCGCAATTTATTTAGTACCTTTTCCTGATGGCCTTGTGTGTGATTGGTTACTTTGTCAAGGTCTTTTTACTGTCTCCTCTCTATCTTCATTCTGATTGGTTGTCTTGACCATCTTGTTGTTTCTTACTGGTTGATAGATTGAGTCAATGTCAATATATCTGTTGATTTCTGACTGACTTGAATATCAAGCTACCAAAAGTTCTATGGGATTCCTTGTATTCCCTCTATCCAGGATTTTCCTATTTTCTCAGTCAAATTTATATCCATAGTTGTCTGTACGTATTGATATGAGCGAAGGTATGTGACGATGCTTCACTGCTAGTTGATGTTCACGCAGATGGACGCGAAGAGGGCGACTACTAAGTTTGATATAGTGTTTTTCTCAGTTTGTGTAGTTTAATTTGTAGATAATGTTTCGTTTGTCTTCCTTTAGTATTGTATCTTTTGGTCAGGATAATGGAGACTGAAGAGATTTTTTGTGCTTGTAAGGTAAAGCGATTCCAAGAGGCTTCGATCTCGGAGATATTCCTCATGTAGGGTAGGACAATGTGTTTGTTAGTTATCGTGGTTGAATATTTGCTTGGTGACGAATTATGTAGACACCTTTTGATGTAGTTGCGTAAATAGCTGTGAATAGCCGGAAATCCATAGCTATTCATGCAGTTCGACCCTGTATAGCAACAGGAAATTACAAGTATCATAACAACGATACCAAACATACTTGAAATGTATCCACTGCATATTGTAAACTGTAAATTTACTGCCTTTAGTCACAATCGGCACACCAGTTTGTTCCTTTACCTAACGCTATGATAAATGAAATTTATTTTAAGTTGGTATTCACCGTGGGCTGACATTAGTTGGAGGAACATTGGGAACCTGGAGCACTGGGCAGCTGTTTCGTCATAGTATGAAACTCCTCAGCAGGGCGCACACATGACCCTCCCACCACGGATAGAACTCAGGACCTTCAGGTTCTGTGGCGAATACGTTACCAATGAGCCCCTGGTCCACATTTTCTACTTCTGTCAGTTCATGATATAGCACGACCTTGATCCAATGTCGTCGTTGAGTAACTGTCCTTCTGTTCGACTTGGTTGGCCCCACTGGTCACGACTTCTCACTGGAACTTTGAAAATCACCTCTTGAAGCTACTACATATTATGTGAAGACTTCTGTGGAAAATACCCGAAACAATTGCATTATTGCCAAGACACTACACATGGACATTAACGCTACCGCTTAGTACTGATCTCAGAATGATCTAAACTTCGTGTGGTTGTTCGCTCATTCTACTGTCGACCTTAATAGTGGTTTATCCTGATAAATTTATATTGGATAATAAGATTTTGTCAACCATCTAATTTTGGTCAGCTGCCTTGGACGGACCAATTGGCCGTTAAACAGACATGCACACTTTCCAAATTATTCACATATAAGCCTCTGACTACTGTTTACTTTATAGTAGTATATCTACCAACACTCAATTTTTGTACTTAATGCAGCGTATCGTTTTAACTTATATAGATCTTAGTGTAAATACTTTACAGTTCATTCTTTTTATAACCTTTTTGATTTCATTCAATACTTTAGAATCAACCAATTTCATTTGTGCATTTGAAACACTGGATTCAGTTTATTTTCTGATTCGTGAGTTAAAAACTCCAACATGTGAAGCTAGAATACATAATCGTTATGTGCAAACACTTACTTCATCGACATCATCAACCATGAAGTCGACAACAATGCTTAGTGAAACATCAGTAACACGTTTAATACGTATATGTAAAGGTGATCCAGGTGGATATCCACATGTGAATGAAGGAGAATTCGCTACATTTGGTAAAGTGACATTAGAATGTAAATTTAGTCAGAGTCATGCATTGAATTATTATCATAAAGCATTGAATAAAAAGAATATGCAAATCTCTGAACAACTACTGACTGAATTTTCTTATGGTTATGCAATTGCCGGTAAATGGGATTCTGTTGATAATAAGTTGTATGTAAGCTATCAGACTGGGATGTAAGTTATTGTTTGATTTCAATAATTAATGCATATTTTTGGTTAATGTGGACATATCATGAAATCACCACTTTTGTAGAGCCATTGATTACTAATATTTCTTACCGTGAACACTGAAGGTATTGATGCCGTTCTGGTTATATTACTATATGAACATGAGATTCGCAGGCGACTGATTTCGACACTAGTCTTGGAATCTTCTTGAATGTATCTTCGTAAATATACATCATAATAATCTCAATATTCAATAATTGGTGACCTGTGGAATGACAGCTTGACAACACATGTAGCTGATTGATGTGAGTAGTCAGAGAACACTAGTCTGCTAAAGATGACATAAAGAGTGGTTTATTTCCTTCATCTTCTCATGCGTAGAATGTACCGAATGATCGTAAATAGATAAATTTCTGAAGATTTAGAGGAAAGGAAATTGTTGCTTTAATAGTTTGGGATTTTCAAATGGCGCTCATTCAAGATAAGGATATAACCGGAACGGTTATTAATGTAAGATGAATAATTCACGCTTCAACCTATATAAGAATAATAAGTGAAAAGATAACTCACAAAAGAGGTAGGTCAAGGATTTTACTTTCACCCGACTGATCATAATACCTAGGACATGAGAAAAATAAGTAAATCTATGACTGATAAACAAACATTCACCATTTGCTTTAGTTAGTTGGAAGCAGTGGGCAGGAAGCCCTGCTTCTTTTAGGTTTTGAGGCTGTTGGCATTCTTCAGTAAGGTGTTTCTGAAGCCCTGATGGAAGTGATGTCCACTCTGAGATCCGAGCCGCGTCACTCAGTTCTGCAGTCAGTGATAATAGAATTTGATCAGCACTTAGAACTAGACAATATGAAATTAGTTGCTTTCTAGTGACCAATTGATGTATGTAATCCAGTCCTAATGAATGGGTTATTAGTAACGCCATTGACTGCAGTACTGAGCGAAACGAGTTTGAATCTCACAAGGGACATCACTTCCTTGGAGATGTCAGATCCTTTTTGCTGATGAGTGCCAAAAGGCAGAAAGTCTAAGTTCAAGGCCTCTTACCAACTACCTCCAACTAACTAGTACTAATCAAAGTGTACCGTGATGATGAACCTGCTAGATTGTTGGCCAGATTTCGAAATAATCAGTACAATTTGGTTGGCACTCGGGATTAGACAACGTAGAATTCGTTACTTGACAGTGACCAATGAATCTATTCTCCATTTATGCAGAACAACTTTCAAATTTCATTCAGGTATTTCCCTTTATAAATTTGAAAAGAGCAAGAACAACAATGAAGGCAAGATAAAATGGGTCCATTTCAACTTCTCACAACCTGAAAATTGAACGAACTTTCATTATAAAGAAACAGAATATCAGTCAGTGGCTTAAAACAGACGGAAATAGTCATAGAAGGAAGATAAGTTTTAGTGACAAATTTTAGGAAAGTTAGTAAGTGTTAACAAGAGATTGTCAGGATTATCTACATACTTTATTTAATAGAAATTTCGTAAACAAAAATAACGATAGTATAGGAAACAACATGACGAAGACGAAGGAAGGAATTTTTTTTATTGACATCTTGTACAGAAGTCATCAGATATTGTGCATCTTCCACTGAGATAGTCAGTCATTTCTTTTTAATGTGCTTCTTTTCCTCTTCTGCTTGTAACTTGATTTTCTCTTAATATGACCACATTGTCTCTTGTATTTCTCTGGGTAGAATCTTTACCGATTGTTGATAATTGCCTATGATTTCTCCCACTCTCTCAACATATACTACTGTTGTGCTATATCGTGAGCTAACAGAAGTTGGAAATATGGACGTTTGGATTTTGACCCAGTGGCTAATTGGCAACGTGTTGGCCACGGAACCTGGAGGTCACGGGTTCGATTCCTGGTGGGGTCGTGGGTGCGAACTGCTGAGGAGTCCCGTACCAGGACGAGACAGTTGTCCAGTTCTCCCAGGTTTCATTTGTTCCTCCAACTGGTGTCAGTCTACGATGAACAGTAACTTGGAATATTTCCAAATCCTCACAACTTCCTCAAAATATACTGCTTATATCCATTCTGATCAGCAAGGCCCACTACAATAGGAGTACCAGTCAGATTGGATGAACTTACCATTATAAGATTATGTAAATAGGTCATATGATAAATAGGTGAAATATTGTGAGTTAAGCTCAGGTAATTAAAAGTATCCAACATGAACAGAATATGTTACAACTAAGTAAGGGATAAAAATCTAAAGTCGATAAAGTATGATGTAATCCAATAACAGTTGAAGCAAAGTACTCACCTTCATTTTGAGTACATAAATCAAGTTTAAGACCTTTGATGGCTATAGCTTCACCTAATTTCAGAAGAACCGAGATTGCTTGAAGAAATTTAGCACGTCTATCTGATGTCTAGTATTAATCAAATGCCAAGTGATCATATGTTCAGAGTGTAACATCGCCTCAGTCGTAAACTTTTTGATTATGTATGATGTGCCTTGCTTTTACTGATAACACACTGATAATATGAAGCACTTAGATATTATAGCATAAACATCATCATAGCCATTAACAAACATTTTTTTTTCTTTATTTCTATTTCCTCTCCTATAATGCCTTTTCAATTTACACAACAAATAAAAATTAGGAAATATCCTACTGGTGATGCGCTTTGTGTTTATTCCCTAAATGATATAGAAGATGCTTTCGATAGTGAATTAGCTGCAAATGAAAATTTGGATCAGAATCAAATACTACCAAATACTTTTAAAATATTGTAAGTTATTATCGTGTGTGTGTGTATATGATTATGAAAAAGTTTTCACAATATCATTAAAATATTCCAACAGCTATGCTTTACAATAGTTAACAGTTTCTTAAGAGTTAAGAGCACAGATTTATGAGACTGGTAAATAAGTGACTCCGAAGTCATCCTAGAGACAATTGAAATAACCTCACTGGCCTAGTGGATAAGGTTTCGCTGTTAGAAGCGATAGTTACGAAATTCGAACCTCAGTAGGGTCACTCACTAGGATACAGGTATATCTAGCTGATGAATCCCGAATAGGACGAAATGCGAGTCCCAGATTCCAGTACTAGCCACAACTAAGGTTCAGACAGACATTTAGTTTCACTAACTCTTTCTCATACAATATAAGTGGCTTATTCCCTACTGCATGAATGTGTACAACGTAGCTGTTTGCAATTCTACTCGAGTTCGAAAGAAACGTACAATTGTCTAGTTTTATTAGTGGACTTCTGTCTAACCTATTGTCTATTTTCATATAGCTTCTTATCTTGACCTTAGTACACCTTAAATGTTAGACATTTTCGAAATATAATTGAATATTTACTATCAAGTACAACCATATCTAACAGCACCTAAGGATTACTCTGAGATTTAATGCAGCAAATGAATATTCAGTCATTCAGAATAGTCTATTCATCGCAATTTTCTCGCTTCGAGAGACTATCAGGTGAGAAATACTGTATAAATTTAATCTTAGTGCTTGATTATAAGCGAAATAAAAGTAATTGATAAAGCATAGTAGATCATTATGCAGTGATAAATAGACGCAACTCTTTTATATCTTTGAAGAACTAGCCAAAGGTGTACACTTTTTACTGTTCCTTAGTGAGGAGAGAAGACAGGAGTGATAAAGATACCCAACCAACAATAGCACCAACAACAACAAGCTACAATCACCACTAACATTAGGAAACTTAAAGGAAGTAGTCTCCTTCACTTACTCAACCAGTCAGCATCGTTTCAACTACAGGCGACACAGGCACACATGAGGATGTCAAAGCAGTCAGTATCGGAAAGACAGCTAGAAATGTGTTCATTAGCCTGAAACCAGTGTGGAGATCTTCTTCACTCCACTCAGCATAAAGCGTGAACAACATCCGGATTTTCAACACAATGTCAGTCAAGTAAGTCAGTGTTCCCATGTGATGGTTGAGAGACTTGGTGCGTTACGAAAGGCATTTCCAAAAAGCTGGAGACACTCATGAACAACTTCCGCCTACACTGTCTCGCTGCTGAAGATCATATGGCTAGAATAGTAAGAATCAGTAAGAAGGGAACTCACTGTGGCTGGCTGGCTGGCTGGCAACGAACCAACAAATCAAGAACCTATGGCTCAACAAATATGCACTGGAAGGAAGTGGATATGGATTGGGCATGCATTGAGAAGACGGATTGGGGACATCATGCGCCAGGCCAGGCCAGGCCATGCCAGACCAGACCAGGCTAGTCCCTCGAGTGGAACCCAGATGAGGAACGATGAGTTGGGTGTCTGAGGTGAGGGTGACATGGAGTAGATGGTATGAGGAAGAAAAGAGAGGTTGTGGGTAGTCATGGAGCCAGGTTCAAAGTTTGCAGAGAATCTAGTTGAGTGGAGGCGTTCTACTGAATCCCTATGTTCCACTAGGAACCCAAGGGACAAATAATATAATATGCTTAAACGTCACCATGTTTTAGTCTCCTTCATGGCTAGCAGTGGAACTCGTTAGCTGCAGGCAGCTGCATCGCAGTTAGTGATTTTGCCCACACTGAGACTTGAACTCAGTACCCATCGCTTCAGGAGCCAAAGTATTACCCCCTAGGCCACTGGGACACGTCAGTCACCACCTGTGTAACGAATGGCAGTTGTTGTTCATTGATACTTGTGATTTCCTCTTGCTATCCTGGAAAAAATCTCTCGACATCTGCTGGTACATGAGCTTGTATGTAGATGTCTCGACAGTGCCCAAGAAGTGGCTTTCATGCCCCAGTGGTCTAGGGGATAATGCTTTGGTACTTGTAAAGAGATAATTACTAAGTTCGAGTTTCAGTGGGAATACTATCACTCAATTGGGTACAGGTACAAACATTTGATGAGTCCCAAGTAGGACAAAATGCGCATCAGGGGTTCCACTGCTAGCCGCCAAATAGACTGTGAGGTAATGAAAATCCGGACACTACTAATTTATGCAAAAAGTTGCCCATCTGTCAAGACAAGTCGAGCAGTTCGACCCACTATGACAACGGGAATTACAAGTATTGCAGAATCTGGACAATTTTCAGTGTTAAATAGCCCAATCATTTTATATCTTATGACAGTTAAAATAGCCACTTATTATATTGAGGTTTTCGGAGGATGACATCTGTTTATTACTGCAGAATTCCAGGAGAGAAGGAATAAAGCAGCCTGTATATCTAAAATTTTCTGGTTTCTATTAATTAGTCCAAGAAAATGTCGTGCATAAATTTCCTCTCATCTTATCAACTTGACCTTTTACTGGAATTTTCATTAGCTATTAAGCTAAAGACAACTGACCAAAGATTAAATATGTAAAAATGTGCTAATACTCAACAATAACACTGGTAATTCCTCTGGTAATGTGTAAACAGTACTAGGAAAGAACTACCGGGTACAGGAAAAAAAACATGTGTAACAATAATAATAATAGTAATGATAAGACTTTGAAGTAGGAATGATAATCCCCTTTATAAAGAAGTAATTTTAAAGTCCCATGCGGAAGTCCTAATAATGCTGGGATTAAACTGGCATTTAGGCTTATAGTCTCAATTAGAGATAAACTCGGCTAAACTCGGCTAAAATACCCCATTGGATATATTAGACGAAACAATTTAGCCTATCAAATTTCCATACAATGACTGCGATGTTAATTACATGGGTCAAACTATCCAATCAAAACCAGTTACATTAGTAGAACATAAAAATCTCGCTGAATAAACAGTAGTGGACTATAGCAAGATATGAAATATTAGAAGGGTTACACTATAGCTATTTATGCTATCACACACACACACACAGTCATGCCGTAGGATGGTACTAGAGTAACAGTCTAGATTGGTAACTGAAGCTTCAACTATCGAATAGATATGTAACACACATGTGATAGTAATAACTCAGGAAGTTGTGTTTACCTTCATGTGAATTTGAGTAGTGAATACTACTCGAGACATCATCCAGTTAATAATACTCTTGGTTGTATTATATTCTCTAAGCTGAGTTGTTTAGTTGTAAGGCTTTAATCATCTTTCTACACAACATCATCAGCACTAACACTTCAGTATGAAGTGAGCTGTCAATATTTCTCCGCGAGTAATTTAGGAGCTTGCCCTGACGAACTGGTTTGTGATTGGTTGTTGTCTTTGATTGTTGTGTTATTGACTGTAAAGATTTTCCTGTTGGCTGTCCCTCTGCTTCACCTCTTACTTATCGAATCCCGGTGGGCACAACATCACTCACTAGGAGGCAGGTACATCCAGCTGACGAGTCCTAAAAAGGACGAAATGCGTATCCTGGGCTCCACTGCTAACCATTATCCATCATTACTATACACTAACCTAGTTAATTTAATGAATGAATAGTACTTTGATTTATTTATTCATATAAATTTGTTGTAATACAATATACTCTCATTGTTCAATTTATTTGTTTAGTGTAAACGATTTAGTTCTGGTATTCTAACCGAGTTAGAAGTAGACAAAGGACGTCAAATGCCTAGAACGCATTTATTACGTGTAAAGCATGTTAATCCAATCGGTGATCGTCCATTGATTATTCGACCTGTACCAGGATATCCATTTACACAGACTAGTCAATTAGGCTGGTATCATATTGAAATTGATCATAATGATAGAAATGCAATACTATATTTATCTGGTGAACAACGTATTGAACGATATGGACTGTTTAATTTATCTACAGAGGATACAATGGAAATATGTCCATGGGATCAGTTAACTATTGATGATTTTGGTGTAAATAATGAAATTATTACAGGTGTTTACATGAAGCATATAAAGCCTGTAAGTGGTAAATTATCTGTGTGAATTTTTTTTATTTGATGCTTATTGTTCAAAATGGATGTATGTTCTGATTGTTTGGGTTGTCGAAAACCCAATTGACTTGCTGAAAAAATACGCTTTATATATTCTTGATTAAGCAACAGACTTGAAGCAAAAAGAAAAAGTTACATTTCAAGTTGATGTTTATCGTGGGCTAACATCGGCTGTAGGAATATTGAATAACTGAGACCACTAGACGGCTATTTTGTCTTGGTTGGTACTCTACAGTAGTTCACACTCATAACTCTTTCCCCCTCCCAGACATTAGACCCAGGACCTTGAGGTTTAATGGTTCATATTTTCCTACTTCCGTCAATTCGTGATGTAGAGTCATTTACATCCAACGGCGTTGTTGAATACCTGTCCTCATATTCAACTAGGTTTACCTGACAGGTTTCAGCTTCTCATTAGAACTTTGGGAAATCTACAACCGATGTCAGTAGGTAATGAATACCAACTTGGATCCATATAATCTCTATATACCTGTAAATTGGAAAGTTTTATTTCCCAAATGCAACTAATTACATAGTTTGATTGGTCTTCACTGTGTAAATGTGAATCAGTTGGGGTAGCTGAAGATAATGTTTCACTTATCAACTTGATAAAGTCATGCGATGATTGAGTAGAACTCACAGCTATCAGTAATTAATCCTAAATCCTCATGATAAACATGCACGTAAGTAATAAGTGAAGCATCTTGACTTTTCAACATTTTAGTGGATTGAAAAGACTACAGAACAAAAATGATAGAGTCATTCTTAAACCTGATAACGGATCTAGCGTGGTTGTTATGAATATGCAGTATTATAAGGACAAAACGCTATCCATTCTTAATGACAACAGGAAAAAATTAAAAAAAATTCGAAAGAGAAACAACTGCGGCTTTAGTAAAACTTCTTAACATGAAATAGGAATTTCATTTCGTATAATCCGTAGGATGTGAACACCCAAATTTATATGGTTTACACAAGATACACAAATCAAATATCCCATTATGTCCAATAATATGGATGTATCGCTACCCAACGCATAAATCGGCATAATGGTTAGCCCGAATTCTAAGTACAGTAAAAACCAAATAAATAAGTTTACATTAAAAGATACTTTTGAACTTATTCACTGTATAATGACATTGATTATTATATTATTATTTGTCCCTTGGGTTCCCAGTGGAACATAGGGATTCAGTAGAACGCCTCCACTCAACTAGATTCTCTGCAAACTTTTGAACCTGGCTCCATGACTACCCACAACCTCTCTTTTCTTCCTCATACCATCTACTCCATGTCACCCTCACCTCAGACACCCAACTCGTCGTTCCTCATCTGGGTTCCACTCGAGGGACTAGCCTGGTCTGGTCTGGCATGGCCTGGCCTGGCGCATGGTGTCCCCATTCAGTCTTCTCAATGCATGCCCAATCCATATCCACTTCCTTCCAGTGCATATTTATTGAGCCATAGGTTCTTGATTTGTTGGTTCGTTGCCAGCCAGCCAGCCAGCCACAGTCGGTTCCCTTCTTACTTATTCTTACTATTCTGGCCATATGATCTTCAGTAACGAGACAGTGTAGGCGGCAGTTGTTCATGAGTGTCTTCAGTTTCTTGGAAATGCCTTTCGTAACGCGCCAAGTCTCTCAACCATCACATGGGAACACTGACTTACTTGACTGACATTAGTGTTGAAAATCTGGATGTTGTTCACGCTTTATGCTGAGTGGAGTGAAGAAGATCTCCACACTGGTTTCAGGCTAATGAACACATTTCTAGCTGTCTTTCCGATACTGACTGCTTTGACATCCTCATGTGTGCCTGTGTCGCCTGTAGTTGAAACGATGCTGACTGGTTGAGTAGGTGAAGGAGACTACTTCCTTTAAGTTTCCTAATGTTAGTGGTGATTGGAGTTTGTTGTTGTTGGTGCTATTGTTGGTTGGGTATCTTCATCATCTCCGTCTTCTCTACATCCACTTGAATTCTCGTCTTCGCTGCCCTGCCTCTTCTGTCAACTTGTTAGTTTTCACCTGTAGATCCTCGAGTTTGTGCAACATCAGACACAAGTCATCGACAAAATTCAAATCTTCTAGGGACTTCTCATCGGTCTAGCGTATGCCCATCTTCTCGCTCCTCACGGTTTGTTGCATGATCCAGTCCACCACGTTCAGGAAGATTATGGGTGATAGTAGGTGTCAGCCTTGTCTTACTCCTGTCTTTTCTTCAGAGGTATCACTGAGCTTCCCATTGTGAATTGCTTGGCATATGGCATCTTCATATAGTTGTTGAATGAGATTGTTAAATGTTTTTGTTATTCCTTAGTGTCGAAGCAACTGCCAAATTACTTCTCAGTCAATGCCGTCAAAGGCCTTTTCAAAGTCGATGAAGTTGAGGTAGAGTTGAGTTGCCTGCCATTCTATACTCTGTTCTATGATGATATAAAGCGTTGCAATTTGATCCGCTCATGATTTATTCTTCCTGAAGGCAGCCAACCAGGCTGTTCCGGTCGTAATTTTGAATCCAGAGAATTTTTAGTCTCTTCAGGATGATACGGCTTAATATTTTGTTTGGGAGTGGACAGGAGCGTGATTCCGTGCCAGTTCTTGCAAAGACTTCGGTCTTCCTTCTTCGGGAGTTTGATAAGGTAACTCTTCTTCTAATCTGCAGGTACCTTCCCTTCCTTCCAAACCTTCTGCAATAGTGGTGTGAGCATGTCCGCTGTTGTCTGTGCGTCTGCTCTCAGTGCTTCTGGCGGTATTCCATCTGGTCCTGCTGCTTTCCCGCATTCCACTAGCTTTATGGCGCTCAGCACTTTTACTTTTGTTGGAGGATTTGTGTGACACTGATGTAAGCTCTTTATCCCTTCATTTCTCATCCCTGGGAAATATTTGAAGGAGCTGTTAATACTACTATTCCCTGATAAGCTTCACTTCACTTTCGAAAGTGAACACTTTGAACAAGTTGGTAGTGTTGCAATAGTCAGTCCCCTAATACCATTGTCAGCTGATATCTGTAATGTCATGTAATGCCTCTAACAAGGATTGTTTTTACGCTGTACAATTGCGTTATGTAAATGTAGAAACTGAAGAGAATTTATTGAAAAGAATGTTCTTTGTTACTAATGTTTTCTGGTAAAGAACAGCGTTTCACACAATCAAAATTTCATAATGATTCTCAATAACCGATATGAAGGCTTTGCTAAACTTCTAGTAAATAAGCAGTTGTTCTACCCGGAGGAATATACACATTATATAACAGAATATACTACTGCATTCTGAATTAATGCAGAATATTTGTGGCTCATTCTACAACTATATGAAGATGCCATATGCCAAGCAATTCACAATGGGAAGCTCAGTGATACCTCTGAAGAAAAGACAGGAGTAAGACAAGGCTGACACCTACTATCACCCATAATCTTCCTGAACGTGGTGGACTGGATCATGCAACAAACCGTGAGGAGCGAGAAGATGGGCATACGCTAGACCGATGAGAAGTCCCTAGAAGATTTGAATTTTGTCGATGACTTGTGTCTGATGTTGCACAAACTCGAGGATCTACAGGTGAAAACTAACAAGTTGACAGAAGAGGCAGGGCAGCGAAGACGAGAATTCAAGTGGATGTAGAGAAGACGGAGATGATGAAGATACCCAACCAACAATAGCACCAACAACAACAAACTCCAATCACCACTAACATTAGGAAACTTAAAGGAAGTAGTCTCCTTCACCTACTCAACCAGTCAGCATCGTTTCAACTACAGGCGACACAGGCACACATGAGGATGTCAAAGCAGTCAGTATCGGAAAGACAGCTAGAAATGTGTTCATTAGCCTGAAACCAGTGTGGAGATCTTCTTCACTCCACTCAGCATAAAGCGTGAACAACATCCAGATTTTCAACACTAATGTCAGTCAAGTAAGTCAGTGTTCCCATGTGATGGTTGAGAGACTTGGCGCGTTACGAAAGGCATTTCCAAGAAACTGAAGACACTCATGAACAACTGCCGCCTACACTGTCTCGTTACTGAAGATCATATGGCCAGAATAGTAAGAATAAGTAAGAAGGGAACCGACTGTGGCTGGCTGGCTGGCTGCAAGGAACCAACAAATCAAGAACCTATGGCTCAATAAATATGCACTGGAAGGAAGTGGATATGGATTGGGCATGCATTGAGAAGACTGAATGGGGACACCATGCGCCAGGCCAGGCCATGCCAGACCAGACCAGGCTAGTCCCTCGAGTGGAACCCAGATGGGGAACGATGAGTTGGGTGTCCGAGGTGAGGGTGGCATGGAGTAGATGATGTGAGGAAGAAAAGAGAGGTTGTGGGTAGTCATGGAGCCAGGTTCAAAAGTTTGCAGAGAATCTAGTTGAGTGGAGGCGTTCTACTGAGTCCTTATGTTCCACTAGGAACGTAACGGACAAATGATAAATAATTTGTGGCTGAGGTAGATAATGTTGCTTATGCTGCGTTCTCTGAACCGGATGGTTTAATCGTGAAGCTTACACTGTAAGTCTCGTAAACATCATCAGCACTAACTTTTAAATGAAACCATCTTGAAGTTAGTAGTGATGACATTGTCTAGAACAATAATCAATGCATCATGATTAAATCACCCAGCTTAGAAAGCATAACACAACCCAGATATAACTGAATTTTCTAATTCCAAGAGAATAGTCCATTTTCTTGAAGTAACCAATATGATCTTTTTGAAAGCGCTAATACATACGACCTATATCAATATCTTTGGAATACTTTCAACTGTCCAACATAGAATATAGTGAACTTCCTTATCTTGTTACTAAGCTAGACAGTTGTTATGTTCATGATATTTTTCGTGTATAACATTTACAATTAAATAGGTTATTTATTATTCATACCTTTTCGAGTTTATTTTTTTCTTTCTTTCTTTCCATTTATTTCACGTTGATTATTGCATTCTGAATATTTCATATTTATTTCAAATGTATTAGGCTAAAGAATTTTATATACTAACAAGTAAACATGTTATTCAACTATCAAAATTTATTCAGTTATGTGAAGCATTTAAAATATCAAGTGATTGTATCAATTCAAAGTTATCTACATGTAAATGGAATATTGAAACAAATACATGTGAAATTAAAACAAAATCTTCAATATTAGATTATGATATAATATCTAATACATTAAATAATATGCATACTGTACATCATAATACTATTGAAAAGAAATTTTATCATAATCATGATTTTCTATCAAAATTTTCTACTACAAATCTAAATTTTTGTTTATTTGATAAATTAAATTAGAAAAAAGTATTAATAATAAGAAAATTATTTATTGGTGGAAAAATCTTCAAGGTCATATGAAACAAAACCAACAACAACATAATGAATTTATTCAAGATATTAATTCACCAATTCTATGTATAATGTCTACTACATCGAATATTATGAATAGATATCAAAATCTTACTTGTCATTGTAAGCCATGTATTAATTGTGGAAATGATCAGTTATATCGAATGATGATAACTGATTGCCAAAGTAAGTTGATAGTCTATTTCATATTCAAGTAGAAAATTGTACTGATCCCTATATATATATATTTGATTCATGATTACTAAACACCTTAACCTATTGAGTGGGAAATTTATCTATTTATAACTTGAATGTTAGTGAATTAAGATCAACTGATTACTTGGTGAGTGTCTGGAAGTAGACGCAAAATTAGCCAATCAGCTTAATAACCTATACTACTACTGAACAACTTGAGCAGTTGAAAACCACTCCAGCTGATCTGTGAGTTTTGCAAGTCAGATTAGAGGGATATAAAAACTAGATGGCTGTTTTTACTCATTTGGTATCGACTTCATTACGGCTGCAGCCCTACATATCACCTGATTCTGTTTGGATAGCTGATTTGGATGCTTTTACCAGTATAACCAAGATAGATTTTTAAAAAAATGCAAAGTCTACCTTGATATTTCTCGTAACTGAGTAGCTTTCCCAATAACCAACTGTGGTGCTAATCAAAAGAATTTCTATCCTAAATCAACTATCAGCTAAGGTCATAAAGTGTGATCTTGAACACAAATATTTTATAAACTAGCAAAGTATACTACTACTGAAAAAAATTGAGTAGTCCAAAAGCAATCAGGCTGAAAGTATTTTAGCAAAATGAAAGCATTCAAACAAACAGTTCATTGAATCATATGACATCTTGCTTTATGATTTTTTAAAACATTATGCAATACCTTGATCAACACTATGAAACCATGATATAAATTACACTGCTTAACCATACAGAAATATAAAAGTGAAAATTTGAGTTTTCCTCTTATGAACTTGGATTATTTCATGATTTACTTTTTGAATGTCATAGATTTATCTTTCAATGAACTTTTAATCTCAAGTTTGAAGAATTCTTCCATCATTTTCTATGAATATCAGAATTTTTATTGGGATATTAAGAAAATTTTTGACAACATGGTATTGTCACTTGAAAGAAGGTTGTGATATACTTGTGCTATTCTTGTGAAGTATAACCACATTGTACTATAAAAGTATATATATATATATATATATATATATATATATATATCAAACTTCCCTTGAATACCCACCTTTTCTCTTCGTTTCTTGGTTTAAGGTTAAGTATCTGATATTAGTTGTTCTTAAACTAGGTGTGATAAAAGCAGGATTTAATGAATTCATAAATTTCAGTAGTACTCGTCAGCTGGATACTCTACATACTTGATTATATATACCGTTAAGCACTGGAAAAGAGAATACATACATACATATATAACGTAGACTGAGACAACGTAGAAGTGAATAGTTTTTACAAGTCAAATGGATATTCAGGATTGTTGACATAAGGACATATGTATGCTCTTTTCCATTGCTTAACTGTATATATAATCAAGTATGTAGAGTATCCAGCTGACGAGTACTACTGAAAGTTATGAATTCATTAAAACCTGCTTTTTTCACACTTGTTGCTTGTTTTAAATTTGTATCGGGAAATAAATGTTTTCAACTTAAACTAGGTCTTTAGATTATCACTGACGATATATATTTTGGAACATAAAGCTTGAAATCAAGAGATAAAATACCATATCGGTTTCTGTTCAATTTCATATAAAGTAAATGAAGGTATGTTACTCCAAACTTCCAAGAAGTTCTTCATGTAACCTTTTGTGTTACTGACAATTTGATTAAGGTTCTCTGAATGCTTTGGTTACGTTTATTTGAACATTTAACAGAAGCAGTGTTCATATCAATTAAATCTACTAAATAGGATTGCATTGGTCTACAAATCGAAGATTGCTTCGTTAGATGACTCAGCAAAGACTTTGTAATTTAAAGATATATAGAGGGAGAGGAAATTCAATATGAAAAAAACACCTCAAGAAATTGTTATTGGCGTCATTCACTTTTTCCACATTCTCTACAGGATTCAGCCATGGCAGTTTTTCGCTTAGTATTGGTAACTATAACGCCATTAACCTGGTACATACAAAAATAGTTTGACTACAAAGGTGCTGTTTAAAGAAGTTCACATTTCTAGCTCCCTTCACTGATTATAGCAGAACAATAACAACAGTTATTGGCTTTATACTCCATAATTTAGAAAACATGCTTATTCACACACAACAACCCATCACTATTGAAAAGTTTTTGCCGCAGGCATGCGTAGATTCCGTATCGAATGAGAATGAAACTGAAGTCTGACTATCTCAATTTAGTCCTTTTTCAGTATACTGTTTATCATCAGACGGACGAAATATTTTTAAAAACAATAAAACATTAATTACTAATTATTAATACGCTTATAATTCTCTGCGGTTTTACTAGATCGAACTGTTTGACCTCTGAAGTAATGAGTACGAGGTTCAAGTCTCAGTGGGACTAACATGACTCACAGAGGTGCAGGTACCTCTAGCTGATGAGTCCCAAGTAGAACGAAACGTATGTCCTCTGCTGGCCACAACCAAGTAAATTACTATACTAACAAATTTAGGTAGTATAAGTAGTATCAGCATCATGTTAGTGCAACACAACAAATGGGAGTTAGAGAATAACACAATAAGGAGTGCAAAATTTCAGTTGTCAAAACCTTGATAATAATGAGTTTTGTTCTCAGTGACTTTTGAAACCGAGTCAAAAATAGAATCTGTTAAAGTGACGGGGATTCTTCTATTCTGCTGTCAACTGTCGTCCCTTTTAGTGTACACAATTATACAATTCATATGACTCTAAACATCATCCATCCATCCAGATCAACCTAGGACCAGGCATTACTGCTTAACGGTCCGCGTTGTTACACCTCATATCAGTACATCAAGTAAAAAGGCAGTCAGGTGCAAGATGAAGATAAGAGAATGCAGTCAAAAGAAATATAAAGTACGAGAAGAGAGAAACGAAGAATGAGGAAGTAGTGAGGTTCTGTATAGCGTCGCTAAGATGAGAATAATATATGTATAATCTGCGTCACTGACATCGGTTCTGAGCCATGCGATCACCTAGAGTCTCCAACCACTGACTCTAAACATGACAACCGACTACGGACACATGGCATTATTTTCAACTTTCTTCCGATGAATATCACTGCAAGAAGAGGATGGAAAGGTGTATGAACGTCAGAACAATAAATTATTTGGCTGGAAAGTGATTTCAGAATATTGGAAAGACGAATTTCTTAAAGGTTCCTCTGAAAATGAGTATGCCCATTTGGTGTTGTAGAAAGTCCTCGAATTTTCAAGATACAGAAACCCTTTGGCTTCAAAATTATGCGTAAATAATCCTCCATTCCTACTGACTTTAAATAAACCTTCATATATGATTTTACTGTTTTCTGGATACTAAAGTTGACACGACTTCATGCACCTGAAGTCTCCCAGTGTACTGAGAAAATGACATATTTTTTATCTGAAGGTTTGTGGAGATTCATTAATTGATTTCTAGGTTGGGATTCACCATGAACTCCTCTCAGTTGGAGGAACATTCGAAACCAAGGAGTACTGGATGGGTGTTTTGCCCTAGTATGAGACTCCTCAGCAGTGGACACCATGACCCTGCTCCACCAAGGATCGAAACCAAGACCTTCAGCTTCGTATCCAGCACGTTAACATTGACCTCATGTGTCGAAATCCACTGATCCATATTTCCTACTTCAGTTAGTTCAAGATACAGCTCCACCTATATCCAGTATTGTCGTTGAGTAACTGTCCTCATATTCGACTTGGTTCACTCCACTGGTCACGAATTCTTTACAAACCTTCAGACAGAATTAATCTGTCGCCTATTGCAGACTAACTTCGAGAGGTGATTCCCGAAGATCCAACCACGATACTGGATGTAGGTCGCGCTATGTCGTGAACTGACTGAATTAGGAAATATGGACTAGTGGATTCCGACCCAGTGGCTTGCTCAATGGTAATGTGCTTGCCACGTAACGTGAAGGCTCTGGGTTGGACCCCTGGTGGGGTAGGCGGGGTCATAGTTGCTCATTTTTGAGGAATCCCATACTAAGATGAAAGATATCTTTTAACCGGTGAAAAACTGTTTTCAGATAAAATTTAAGCTGCAGTCAAATGAGTAATAGTTGTGTTCATATTAATTGATGAATATAAAGTTCCCATAAACCCTAGAACTGCATCACTGCACAGTGAGCATTAGTGACATGATTTGAGATAGATATCCTGTAGTTCTATTGAGAACCCGTGACCTGTGGGGACAATCAGTCGGTAGGGATGCGGATTCCAACTGAATACATTGGGTGATAGTCATACTATGTCGTGAATTGATAGAAGTAGGAAACTGAGAACTATTGAAATCCGTATCAATGGCTAAATGGTTACCTCATTCACCACAGAACACGGAGGTTCTGAGTTCTATCCATGGCAGTGTCGTTCGTCCGTACTGCAGAGGAGTCATATACTAGGATGAAGCAGCTGTACAGTGCTCCTAGGTTTCGAATAGTTCTGCAACTGATGTCAGTCCGTGATGAATACGACCATAAAAACCTCAAACGATATAGAAAATCATAATTATATATCTAACAATGAACAAAGAGTGGTTGGGAAGTCTTCAACTTTGACATTCATAGTTTTGGAAGAAAAATAATGCATTCTACATAATCTAACTGGTTTCAGTCTGATGAATCGTACGAAAAACAGATATAAAAGAAGAGATATTACAAAGTTTTCTTTGTATAATGTTGATTATTCTGTTCAAGTATACCTTTACAAAGTAAAGTTTAAGACCAGAAAGATTTGAAATCTCATTTGAGGTCAGTTTTGGTGGAGTTACCTAGCCTGATGAAGAAACGTTTACGAACAAACCTCAAAGATCGGCAAATACCAAACAGTTATTATCCTCATCACCACCTACAAATCTTTCCTGCTATCTTAAAAACTGAGGAATTTAATAAGTCAGTTGCTTGTCTACCTGATTAGTTTTTGCTATAGTTTACCGAACTGAACTATTGAAATATTGGTTTACTCTAGATTTTCCTTTCTTAATAGGATATAAAAATGAATATTGTACAGAAGAAACACTTCATCCTAGCTCTATCAGTAATCTCAAGCTGGCATTCTTCATGGACTGATATGAGTTAGAGAACCATCGGAAACCCGGAAGCGCATAGGAGATCTATTCTGTCCTAGTATGGGGCCCCCTGGCTCTGGTCACCCATGACTGCGTACTCCCAGGAGTCGAATCTGGATACTTCACAATCAGCGACTAGCATATTACCAATGAGCCACTTGGTTTGATGTTCATTAGCGAAGTTTTAGGCAGAATTTATAACCAGTCGGATAAACTAAGTCAGACGAGAAGACAGGTATTCAACGATGCCAGTGGATGGAGGTTGGACTACATCGCGAATTAGCAGAAGTAGGGAAATGTGAGTCGTTGGATTCAATGGTAACATGCTGGTTGAGGAACCTCAAGCTCTTGTGTTTGACTCCTGGCAAGTTAGGGTTGTGGGTGCGCACTGTTGAAAGTCCCATTCTGGAATAAAGGAGCTATCTAGTGCTCCCAAATGATATTGGCCTATGGTAAATGTCAACCTAAAATCAATAAATAAATCCCCATAATCCTCCAAATTAAATTACTTCCAATAATCCCTAAACTTTTATCACTATAAGTGTACCTAGTGATAATGTAAATAATACATTCTAATCTATTTATTTTATTTTCAGTTCATCCATCATGGTCACCTTGGTCACCTTGGTCGTCTTGTTCATCAAATTGTGGTTCTGGACTACTTACTCGTCTACGCCAATGTGATAGTCCACAGCCGATAAAACAAATGCGTATCAACAATCAAAACACTAGAAAACTTATCACATGTAAACACAGTTATGATATTCCAGTGGATCAAAATGTATATCCAAGAGAAGTTGAAGTACAAGTGGAATATTGTAGACAACAAAATCAACGTTGTACTGGTGGTGAGTAATACAAAGATTTAATTCTTTTTAATTTGGGGGGTTAATGGGGCATTTAGTGATGTTTGAAGTTACTTCTTATCATGGACTGACATCCGTTGAAGGAAGATTGGAAAGGTGGGAGGACTAAACGGCTGTTTCGTCCTAGTATGGAACTCCTCGGAAGTGCGCACCCATGGCCCCACTCCGCCAGGGATTGAATCCGAAACCTTTAGGTTTCATGAACAGCATGTTACGATTGAACCACCTCGTCGAAACCCAATGTTCCATATTTCCAACTTCCGTCAGTTCACGATATAGCGCTACCATCACTTAATCTGATCGCTGAATATTAGTCCTCATGACCACCAAATTTTTCCCCGCCGGTCACGACTTCTGAGTGGGACTTCGGGAATCATCTCTTGAAGCTAGTCATCAATGATCTCTAGATCAATTGAATTTAGGGTTATTGTGGAGATTTAGTAATGTACCAGGTTGGTACTCATCATGGACTGGCATCTACTACTCTAAGTTGATCAATGAATATTTTGTACATATCTTAGGATGTTTTACTTTTACAAGCTGATAACTGTTAAACAATTTATGAGAAATAGAGAGCATCGGTTAGTCGTTTCATGAAGACATCAAAATGACACCGAACGACGAAACCTCGGTACCAATGAATGAATGAATGACACTCTGTGCTTTAATTCAAAGACATTGAGTAATATTTTCTCTTTACTTTGTAGAGAGTTCTCTGTGCAAAAAGTATACATTAGATTCTTAGACAACAGTAGTTTGGAAATATTTCTAAGTCTATGAACTAGGAGTCTTTAGTTGATTAGAAGTTGACTTTGATTACAATTGAATAATCAGTAGAAGAACTAATGATGGAAGGTATTTTCTGAATAACTGTTTTTACATACACTGTATGAGTATAACCATAACATGTCCTGAAAAAGAATTCTGGATATTACTTTTCTGGAGTGTTGGAAAGAAACCGGAAGCCAAATATGGATCGTTATTAGTTATTTCTCACTTGATCTTGAAATATACTACTGCAGAACAAGTTGAGTAGTCAGAAAGCGCTCAGACTGATGTATAGATTTTGCAAGGTAGCTTGATGAGAGTGACATAAACAGGTGAACGGCTTGGGATCAAGCTCATCAGTGGTGTAGCCGGATAAAGTCAGCTCACAGAGTTGAATTGTTCAGATTAACTGAATTTGGTTAGCTGACTTACATGAAACAGTAAACTTAAAAAAAGGAGGATCAATTTTTTTCAAACGATTTACAAACTGCTCAGTCTACTTAAACTTTTCTCACAGCTGAGTAACTTTTCAACTAGGAACCCAGTCAACAGGATTTCCTTTGAAAACCAAGATCACAAGGTGTGATCTCCGGTCAGCGTTTAGCTCATTTCTATCTGATTGTCAAATCCTACAGATCAGCCTGATTGGTTTCTGACAACTCAAATTGTTCAGCAGTACTATACTTTGTTAATTCATGACACTTTTGGCTGGTGGAGATGGTTTCCAAAGAAAACTCCGTTGACTGGTAGCACGTTTGGTTAGTGGGAAAGCTATTCGGCTGTGAGAAATGTCAAGTTGGACTGTACAACTTATAAGTCATTTGCAAATTGATCATCCTACGAATGGTACCTGTTTTGCTAGTGGAAAGGGAGTATCGTCGTAAAATCAGTTAATTACATATATTGTAGTCATGTAAAGATGACTGAAGGGGAAGTAAAAACCTTGATTGCCATCGGACTCGAATCAGTAGCCTCTACATTTTCGGCTTGCACTCTACCAACTGAGTTATGAGTTCCATCTCATACCAGATTACAATTTTCTTCTTAGTCACAGAATGTTTTTTCGACTATGTGAACTGTCACACTTAACTGCCGCTTAACCGTAATCACACCGGCTACTTGACCTAGTCTTCTCATTCCAGTTGAAATCAAGCTGAATTAGAGAGGGCAGTGTCGAAATGAATATTATTATTTTCGATTTATTTACTCATATCCACGTCTGAGATGCTTATTTTAAGAAATTATCATCATTCTGCTGGGATTACATCGAAGTTATCGTTTAGGCTTTGATATCATTACAATATCAAGAAAGTAATTAGTTGAGATAAATAGCTGACCGGTTTTATAAAACTATAAAAGTGAATATTATTAAATTAGCTTCCTTAAGGCAACTTACCATTTTATTAACAAGCCCTCGAAAACAAGAATTCTTTGTCAACACTGAATTCAATACAGTTTTTTTTAAAATTCTATTACTATTATTATTATTTATATTTCCTCTGGGTTCCTAGTGGAACATAGGGCTTCAGCAGCATGCTTTCATTGCACTGTGTCCTAAGCAGTCTTTTAGACCTGGCACCACGACTGCCTACAACCTCTCATTTCTTCTTCAAACCATCTCCTCCATGTCATCCTCGCCTCCGACGTTCAACTCATCGTTTCTCATCTGGCTTCCACTCAGCCGATTGGCCTGGCGCGTGATGTCCCCAATTGGCCTTCTCAGTGTATGCCAGATCCATCTCCTCTTTCCTCTTCATATTTGTTGAGTGATAGGTTCTTGGTTGGTTCGTTGCTAGCTAGACAGAGTTCCTTGTTGCTCATTCTTATTATTCTGGCCATCTGATCCTCAGCACCAAGTGAGCGTAGGCGGCAGCTGTTGATGTATGTCTGTAGCTTGTTCGAAGTGCTTTTCGTGATGTGCCAAGTTTCTGAACCATCACATAGCAGCACTCACTTGACTTGTTAGTGTTGAAAATCCGGATCTTGTTCTTTGTGCTGAGTGGAGTGCAGATCTCCACACTGATTTCAGATTATTGAAAGCCTATCTTGCTGTCTTTCCAATCCTAGTTTTGATATCCATGTCTGTGTCTCCTGTGGCTGAAACGATGCTACCTAGTTAGGTGTAGGTGAAAGAGACTACTTCCTTTAGGTTTCTCTAGTTAGTGGTGGTTGGTGCTTCTTGTTGATGTAGATGGTTTCATAGATGTGGGAGATGTCAACTTTCAAATAGGGAATTTAAATCAATGTGAAAGGAATCAAAACCCTATCTTTAGGATTCTATGCCAATGAATTAGCGACGATGATGGTTTGTTACGTTTCTGTTCTGAGAACTACTTATTTCTAGCTGGCACTGATTTCATGCACAAGTAGACAAACTGTCTCACCTGGCATCTGCCGATATCAAACCTATGGTGGATATGCAGCGATGATGTTACTATAAACCATTGTTACTGACGATTGGTAGGGAGTTATCACTCTTTTTGGGACACCTATTACACTTCAGCCGTGAGTTAGTACAAACACATTTTTGTTTCTGCCTTGCCAGTCGTAGAAAAAAACAGCATCAAAACCCCCGAATCCTTGAATGTATATTCGGGTAGGCAATTGTAAAGCATTTATCTGAATATGACAGTAATTCCAATCTTCATGAAGCCTGGCGTATTATTTAGTCTGCTGTAGGAACAGTGGTCAAGAAAGTTGATAATCTAAACCCAATCGTAAACAATAGCCAGTGGATTTCCAGAACCTTATAAATACTACTCGATGCAACAAGGCCGAATGCAGATGGCTGTAACCACAATAAGGAATGAGAGCAGCTCAACTCTAAACTGACAGAGATTCTTCATAATGACCGAAAAAGCGAAAGAAATATAGATGATATCACCACCAGATAATACTCGGCAGTTACTTATGCTTTTCAAAATATATCGGTAAGAAGATTAAATTTGGTTTAATTATACCTAAAAAGAATGGTTCTCTGATACCGTCTTCAGATGGGCGTCTGGAACACTGGGCGGAACACCTTGAAGAACAGTCTAACTGGTTCACAACAAGACTTCATTCGCTCTGTACCTTAAGCAAACCTGAATGAGAAGCAGATGACAGTCTTCCACGTCTCTTTTAGTTGAGAAAGGTGCTTCATACCTGACAATGTACAAAGTAGAAGCACCTGACGGTTTGTTACCTGAAACTTTTAGAAATGGGAGTAGGCAATGACTACGAAGAGTTCAAGATCACTAACAAACTCAAGAAAACCAGGTAGGTTTCAGACTTGAACAATGGTGCATTGATCAGATCTTTACTTCAACAGATTTTGAAACAGAAATATCAATGGCTAACATCTGCCGAATTTTTGACCTGAATATAGCATTAGAGTTAGTCAGCCGGTACCTTTTGTAGCGGTGCATAGCTGTAGAGGAGTACCAGGCAAACATGTAATACTAATGAAAGTTCTCTAACCAAATTTGCATGACCATGTGAGAATCTTTCGAGAGTTGTCATCTGAAATAATGACAACTAGTGATGTTACTGTGTCACTCAACGTCAACGTTCCTGTGTAAATTTGTCATAAACGTAATTATTAACATGATTCTAGGTACCTCTGACGTTACAGAGGATGAACTACTCGCTTGATGGTATGTGGTTGGTTTAAAGTACTTGGACGATAATTTCCTGCTAGAAGATGCTGATAAAATGTAGGGTTCTTTGAACACCTTGAGGAAATCTGTGTGTTTTTAGCTTGTTTCTCACTTGCCAAATGTAATACGATGCTTCAACAATGGTCTACAGCTTTTCCCAGTTTAAGCATAGCCAATGAAGTGGTATAATGTCTTAGGGGGTTGCACTAGCCAGAATGGGCTCTATTACAAAGTGCCCCTTTGATATTTGCAAGCTTACATGAAATTAGCAATATATTTGACTGGTTATTGAACGACGAGTATACTGCGCTACAGTTCATTCTTTGTTATCATGTCATTATGAGATGTAACCCCTGAAAAGACTATCAGGAGACTGCAGGTTTATGACCACAGATATCTTCTCAAAATTTCTCATGTATGTTGCAATAGCCATGTAGCCGGTGGTTAGGTTAGGCTACGGTACTGGGCAAGGAAGGCAAATCAGTCGAGGAGACTGTGAACCTTCGTTGACTTGAACATAAGTTGCGTATGCTCAACCACCGCCTACCTTGACGTAAGTAGTTAGCCAAAGTCGGATTATTTAGGAAGAGGGTTGAGGGTGAACCGATCAAAACGTGGCACCAGTCGATGAAGTCTCTTACTGCCGGTCTGAATCATGTGAGGTGGATGTGGAATGCTTAACTGGGGGTCCCCGAGACGAAAGGAATCAATGGTTAAGGATTCTTGGTGACATGGCTGAAAATCGGTTACTATGATTCAGATGTATTCATACTTTTACATCTTCAAATTTCCGACCATTTCCATTGGACTTCATTTCTCAAATTTGCTCCTTTCTTATACACTTCTTTCTACTTTGATATCACTCTTTTCAACCCACTTGCTTTTTACTTACAGCTATGAAATATGATAACTTGAAATGATAGACTTGTGTAAAAGGATCTGTGATTTGTCCCTTTGACTCTTTGTAAAGACAATTTAGAGATGGCTGAAGCTTCTCTTTACAGAATACTGCAATACAATATATGTTATGTATTGCTCAGGTGGTTCTAGGATTTTTATTTCATTAATTTATGGAGATTAAACATTTCAGTACACATAGAAGTCATGTAAGGCAGCTAATTTTTTATTCGTTAAGGTCATAAAACAGACTGTATATCTAATCAGTCTAAAGAAAATGTAAAGGAAATATAGACCACTGGATTCTGACCCAGTGGTTAGCTCAATGGTAACGTGCTGGCCACAAAACCCGAAGGTGCTGGGTTCGATCCCTGGTGGGGTGGGGTCATGGATGCGCACTTCTGAGAAGTCCCATACTAGGAAGAAACGTCCGTCCAGTGCTTTCAGGTTTCCAATGTTCCTCCAACTGATGTCAGTCTATGATGAATTTCAACCTATAACCAGTTTGAAGTCTAGTCTTCTTATTCATTGATTTGCCTAACTGCGTATATTTGCGGTCTCCGTTTAACTAATCTGCTTGTGTGGATTATGTTACAAGTTAGAGAGACGTTCATGAAATAAACTCAATAGGATTGTATAAGAATCGAATGGTCAAACAGTGTGTAGTATCACGTGGCTTAAATTTTAACTAGGTGTACCACTCCGAGGAGTTTCAACAAGCATAAAATCGAAGTCAAATAGGGTATTCGGTCAATTGACTCCCAACTTCCTAAACCAGAATATCAATGATACTAGTCAATTGATCATAAGAGTTGATTTTGTTCAGTTTGCATTCATATAACATTTAATTCATTCTTTTTATTCAATAACCTGAAATAATTTGGTCAGTAATGGTCAGCATTGGAATCCAAGGTATGTGTTTTGTCTCATTTAGGACTCATCAGCCTCACATATTTCCCCCCTTTGATATTGCCCAATTAATCATTATACTAAAACATGCTTGGAGCAATGGGTACTGGATTTAAGTATCAGTTGAAATAACATCACTCACTGAGATACCGGTACATCCAGCTAATGAGTTCTAAATAGGACTATCTGACAGTAACAGCTTACTAGTTAAGCTTTTTAAGGCAGTAGGAAATAATGATAGGACGACTGAGGTGATATATATGCACATCAATCTGAGTAGCTTCGATTTCGTAAAATAGAAACCATATATTTGTTTGTCTTTAAAATTACTCTGTTTCAAAGTGTTATATAATGCTGTTATTGCATGACTGCCGTAGATTCTTGATAATTACAACTAGCTACAATGTGCTAACAGTAGCTCTTATAAAATTGAAGGACAGTTTTCCAGTTACAGTGTTTACGTGAAGTCAGAAGAAACTGAAGCCAATCATATTGAGCAGATGGTTTTTATTTCAGCGTGAAAAGTTTGATCTCATTAACACTGAAGTGATGGATCTTTAATTACAAGTAGCGATAAATGATAACAACTCATACCTGTTGCAATAGAAGAGGTTGACATGCCTGAGTAGCCTAATGGATGACGATCTAGCTTTCGAAGTGATGGGTGCCAGGTGAGAGTCCCAAGGACATCTCACCGACGAATTCCAAATAGGACAAAACATTCCTCCAGGATCCCACTACTAAACTTCAGTGACGATCAACCACGTTCAAGTATTCACTGACTAATTAGAATCAATTATATGAAGGACAACGTAATTATAAAAGAAAATGGTACTTTACTTACAATTGATAAATTTGTTTTACATGAGCAATAAAAATATACAGATTTCAAACGATTTATCATTTTTAAAACTATGCTGTTTTCCTCACTGCCACTCATCCGTATGGGACCACATCATATCCATTGAAGATGTCCTCTTCTCGTATTTCGATCATATACATCAAGTATATGTGATTTTTCAAAACATCTATGTAATTCACCCAGTCCTGTTTAAGTCGTTTTCCTACGTTGTATTTACGCTTCCTAAGCTACACTGCATTACATTACAATTTTTTGTAAGCAGTCGAACTTTCTGCAAATAACCAACATTGTAATCTTTGTTGTAATTCATAAACAGCTTATCCAGTGTCAACAAAATGGTTAACAGACCTAAGGGAATGACACTGATACGTATCATCTGCAACTTGATTGGTCGTCCTTAAGGTTTCCTATCACTAAAGCTTGGTTCTACCCCTATTAATATGGTATGTCTTTTACCGATAGATGCGTAGAATCCTGCCATCCTTGAGAGACTACCGAGTAGCCTAGACCGGACCAGTGGGAAAACGATTGTTTCCTACTAGCTTACAATATAGGAATGCAAAAGAAAATCACAGTGGATTTAATTTTTTGAGAATTTTTAGGAACTTATCTATGTTTTTACCTACTTTCTTCTGAATAAAGTTTAAATACATGTGATGAAGATAGTTAGCCATATTACTCGAAAAAGATTAGATCACCTGAACTGTGCTACGGATGTAAATTAACCTTCATGTGGTCCTCTATCACCTCTAAATTATTCATATAAACTCCTTTCTATAGAATTATTTAAGAAGTAGGGTTTAAAATCTTCAAAAAGACATTAGGTTCAAAATATTGATAAAAAGTGAAATTCTATGAATTTCACAGTAAAATACTTGAAAATTGTGTCACAAAACAGCACACAAACTGAAAATATTTTCTATTCGTTTTCTTCTGCTTTATGGCTAATGGAAACTATGTATTTAATCGGAGTTAAATGGTACAGTGTACAAAGTTAAAATGAGGATTGTAATTAAATTTTATGGTGCGCAATATTATCCTGGGGCATATCCCATTGAGAAATTCCTGTGTGCAATTCTGTCATTTATATAAAAAGATAGTCAAATGAAAAACCTCTCAGATATGAAGAATAGTATAAGACGATAATATGAAAAATGATTCCCTTAGATTCCATCAAAATAGCAATCAGTATTGTGCACAGGTTGATCTATAATCATTGAAATCCTTTAATTCAAGGCTCCTAGGACGACCTCACAGTCACCTTGAACTTGATTGGCCAATTCAAAGTATATTGGCTGTCGTCCAAGGACGGCAGGGTTCTATAGTTCTACCCTTTTAATTTATTAGCAGGTAGCTGTCCAACAGTCATTGATTTGTACTGATGACTTACAATAAATACATCAAGTTTTGTCTTGTTTAAATGAAACTAATGACAAATAATTGCATATTTTTTGTGTATATCTAATATTATTTGCATTTTCACCATAGAAATCACTTCATCTATGCTATCTGAAAGACAATCATATAATTTTGGTGAAGTTTTCTTAAAATGGAGTAATTGGAGCGATTGTTCTACAAAATGTGGATATGGTATTCAAACACGTCATTTAATCTGTACAACAATATATGAGAAATTGGATCAAAGTAATATGTCACATTGTTCTGTAGTGGATTCTGCATTGATAGATACCAAGATATGTCATAATGTCAGTTGTCAAGGTGAGTATACACGTTTGAGTCATAGATTGTAACTTTTGTTGTACCTTTTTATCTTGGAGTAATAGATCACTAGAGAACGACAACCAGTGACTTAGTGGATATCGCTTTGTCGTTTGGAGAGAAGAGTACTAGGTCTGAGGTCCAGTAGAGATATCATCACTCACTGGAGTGCACGTACATTCATTTGATGCGTCTCAAATAGGACGAGACGCACATTCTCGATTCCTCTGCTAGTCACCATGATCAAAATAATACCATGAGTATCTGGAAGTATTGACGGATTCGAATAGGAGCCCTGTATAACAACAAGAAATTACAAGTATCATTACAACGAACGTGAAGACATTTACTCACTGAGGTTGTAATGTGTCATGAATTGAAAGAATTGGTTAAATATGGAGGATTGGATCCTGGTCGAGTGACTCAACGACAACGTATTGGCTGCGGAACCTGAAAGTGTGGAGTTTGATCCCTGACAAGGTGAGGTCATGGTTGGCCACTGACAAAGAATCTCATATTAAGAAAAAAGTAGGTGTTCAATGTTACCAGACCTCTAATGTTTCTTCAACTACTGTTAGTCAGTGATGAATAAATAACAACTTGAATTTCAATACAACTTAATGGTATCCTGGTTTAATCAACCTTTAGATATGAATATTCAGATTCAGACCAGAATCATATGTGAAGTAGTAACATGTGTCAATCATGTGACAATCTGAGCACTTTAAAGACAGATGAACTCTACAGTTAGTCGTAATTAGTTTCCATTTATTTATGAATAGTGCTGTTTCACTCATATATACATCTCTTGTCTATAGATCATATTTGAAGAGATAACTATTCATTTTGAACGAATACTTTTTTCTTCTATATATATATATATATATTCTTTTGTAGATGAAATTGTTCATTCAGAATGGACACCATGGTTAAAAGTACTGCCTAATAATCCATATATATTAAAGTATAATGTATTCCCTGGTAAATCAAGTTTGAATATGTATTATGAACAACGTTTTCGATATTCTTGCAGTGTACCATTTGAAACAGGTGAAAATTTACAAATTGTAAGCACACAAATTATTGAAAGAAAATGTTTTAATACTGATCAAGAATGTTCTAGTGTTTCAAGTAAGTGGTGTCTATTTTTTTATTAAATATTTAGTGATTGTCTGTGTCATAGAGTTAAAGTAAGAATCTAATGGATAGATTCGGTTAGGTAACGCGATTTGACTAGAAATTGAATTAGTGGTTGAATGGTTAGCGCAGTCGTGGATGCATTCTGTTTGACAGTCTCATAAAAAGACGAAACAACGATCCAAAACTCTTAGTTTCCTATTGTTTCTACAACTTATGTCAGTTTACGACCAGTTAGCTTAGTAGTCTAACTACCTCATCATCAAACTATCTAAATTCATCCTATTTTTATCTCCAATTTGGTGATGCACATATGATTACCTTAGTGACTAGCCAGGCATATTGTAAATTTTCTTATATATTGCCCAATTTGAATAGGTGTCAGCCGATATAATTAGAAGGCAAATAACATTATAGCCCAAAAAAAATTTTTTTAGAAGGTATTTAAAGTTTCTGCTTAAATTTATAGTTACGAAAGACATTACTCCTGAGAATCCCGGGATCTAGTACAGGTAGAATGAGGATCACTGTAGAATTCTCACAGCAATATACTAGGTTTCCCTTGAAATAATTGGGCACCAATATAACAACTAGTCATTCTGAGGATCAACTGAAGCTAAAATGTGTGCTTACAGGTGATAGCTGACAATAGGATCCAGGAAACATCGTTTGTTTCGCTTAGATAAGACTTGATCAACAACATATATCTTAATTTTCTCATTGAAGCTCAATGTCAATGTAAAGACCAAAGTGTTATACAGTACACTACTGTGAAACAGAAGGTTCCTTCGATACACTGAGTGGTTATTGTTCGTATAGTTTATAATTTTCTATTATCAAATCACTAAGTCGAGATAAAACTATCTTCGTTACGCAAACACGATTTCCGATCTTTATGTTCACTTTCTAACTTGTTATTGAACAATCATTGTACAAATTACTCTATATCAGTATGAAATAGAGTAGTTGAACGCAGTTCGACTCTTTGATAAATGTTAGTTAGTTGGAGGCAATGAGCAGGAAGATGTGTCTCACCTGCGTTTCGTTCTTTTTGGCACTTGTCAGTAAGGCGTATCTGCAACCTCCACAGAACTGATATCCCACCTGAGATTCAAGACCAAGTCACTCAATCCTACATTCAGTGATGTTACTACTGAGCTATTCGAATCGCGATTCACCTCCTCTACGACTAGCTTACATATATTGATTGGTCACAGGAGAGCAACAAATTTCATGTTGTTTAGTCTTCAGTGAACACCAGATTATATCGATCATTCTGCAATGTGATCACCGAGCTCAACAGTGATGTCGGTGACTACAACACTGGGTGATGCAGGTTTGAATCTCAGGCGGGACCTGATACTGATTGGTCACTGCAGGGGAACCAACATCATTTAGTGGATCATGGCTCAAATAGCTAATTGGCAACCTCTCCAACTGCAGCACTAGATGATGCAGCATAGAATCTCAGGCGGGATATCAGTTCCATTGTGGTTGTAGACACGAAATGCTGACGAATGCCAACAAGCACATAATGTAGGAAAAGCAGAGTTTCCCGCTCATTACCTCCATCCAGCTAGGATACTCCCACTTTATTTATCAATCACTTAAATTAGAAACAAAGTACTGAAAGAGCTGTCTGGTTCATAAAGGATATCATCTTTTACTGAAACTGACAGTGTTGATGCTATTAATGGTCTCAAGCAGACTAGATATCATGTTCTGCATATTTTGTTTTATGAATGAGGTCATGAGGTAATTTTCAGCCGGTCCAGAACGGATCTTCCACTCTTCTATAATACGATGAGTTCCTCTGATTCTGTACTGACTCCACCAAGAAAGACAGTAACGAAGTGTTCCAACGGACATTTTCATTGATGAAGAATGTCAAAATGATAAAATTCATTTTTAAATGCCTGTCTGTGTTGTGATAATTTGCTTATAAAGCGTCACATGGTGATGCCTTCAGTGGTGGATGACTGTTTAGTGGTATGTATACACAACGGAATTCTAAGAATACAGGATCTTATGAGTCCTGTTGAATATTCCATGTTGAAAACTACCTTGAAACCAACCAATCTATGACCTGTGGAGTCAGCTTAGTTAGGTGTGCAAAACAAATACCTGTTGATGGCACTGTGCAATCGTAGCAGTATATCATGAACTGATCAAGGTAAGAAAATTAGCATCATCGGCCGTGAACCCAACGATTGACATACTCACCTTAAGACTTGACTGTTCTCAGTCTTCAATCCCTCATGGAGATGTGGGTTTGTACTGATAAAGAATCCAGAAGTAGGACAAAAACAGTTGTTCATTGCTTTGAGGTTTTCAGTGGTCCTTTGGCTGATTTCATTTTTTGATGAAAACCTATTGAAAGGAATTAATTCTTCACAAACCTTTGAGAATTGGATCACAAGAAGAAGAAGAAGTTCAATATAGCACTAAAGTGTTTTTCAACCGATAGGTTTCGTTAAAATTTCTTGACAACTTAGATTTTGGTACGTTTCACGATATACTTCCAACATACATTATAAATTCATCTGATGTTATATGTTCGTTCATCTTTTGTCAGGCAATGTTGTTTACTAACTATGTCTAAAGGGAATGTACTTTAAGAAGTTAACTTGTATAAACAAAGATTTCATTCTACTTGATTGTGATTATACTTACAGGCAAAATGATAAACATCATGAAGTACAGTATCATCGTGTATAAACTGCAGGCATTAGAACAGTACAGGGGATTTGTCTGCCCCCTTATAATGACCCTCTGAATAGATTACTTAAGAACTAGGTCCTAATAGTCACTCATGTTTCATTAGAGTCTGACAAACATATTTGTGTTTGAGATGAAACCTTCAAGCCAGAATGTTTCTTCATTCTGAAGAAGCAGTGGCATATACACGGAAACATTTAGATACATCTCGTTACCATTTTCTAAACACTATGGAATTATTTTAACACTTACTGAGATAATGATTAAATCAGACTTGGCGATGAATTTCTTCCAGGACATTCATATCAAATATGAACTAATTGGATGTTTATTATCTAGAGTAAATACCTGTCGAATCTGGCTAAATATTACATCTCTATGACGACCATTTCTACAGATCAGATTAAAAGTTATAAATTTTATATTGTTAAAAACAGACCATTTTTATTACATTGAATATTCTCATTTAGACATTTAGAAAAAGACTGATTGAATAGGTGAAGAAATATATTCCTTTTCCAATTAGGTCTTCATCTTAGGCTCTACACTAATATGCATAGTTTTACAATTTAATCAAATTATCAATCACATGGTAATGTTTCGGAAAGAATGATGTAAATAATCAATAGAGTTACTAAAATAGGAAATACGAATATTGATAGAAACAAGAAGTAAACCTGGAATTTACATCATGTTGACTACCATGGTAATGAAAGTGGTTGGACAAACTTCTTTTGGATACAAAGGCAAGGTTTGTAAAGGTGGATTGCAATCGCCTCTGCTATGTGAAGTAACCGAGTGCGTAATCCATATGGTAAATTAATTAGAATCTGATGGATGATTTTGAAGGCTTTTCCAGTAACCACTTGATGTCCTGTGTCAACTAAGTGTGCAAGTACGGAGCTCTTTATAGTTCTAATTTATCCCTTGTTCAACCATAATTGGTAGTGCTCAGAAATTCGACGATGGTAGTGCCTCACTGTGCGCCCAATGTAACTAACTCCACAGGAGTAGTTTAATTGATAAATGCACATAGAAGTGACAGAATCAGACAGTTTGTCTTTATTTCTTCCACCTAGAATCGGGTGGTTGTAGAAGACGGGACATAATTAATCGGCTGGGAATACTTTATGCAAGACTCTTTTTATGCGTTGTGTGATGGTTTCACTGGGAATATCACTCTTAAGTTCCAGCTTCAAGAAGTTTTGCTTCTTAGGAACTGTTGGCATTGATGTCTATCTTAACCCTCGTAATATTCATACGCTTAGTTACAAACTTGTCTGGATAATCATTCCTACTAAGCAGATCATGAATGGTTAAAGTAAAAATTATTTTTAATTTAAACAAAAAGTATAATAAAGTTTTAACATATTCAAAACAAATTTCAGATATAATCAATAGTCAAATTGATGAAGAGAAACGAATCCTTTCTGAATCAATTGATAGATTCATTGATTCTATTTGGTCAACATGGAGTGAATGGTCTGAATGTAATCAAAATTGTATACCATTAGAAAGTATCTCTTCAATAGATGAATTAAGTATACAACAAATAAAATATTTAAATACACCCCTTTACACTTCAAATCAATATCAATTTCGAACACGTAAATGTTTATCAAGTATATGTTTACAGAATAATAATTTACAGACAACTATGGATTTACGTAGATGTCCATCGAAACCAGCATGTAAAAGTGGTTGGTCATGTTGGTCTGATTGGTCAAATTGTTCACCTATAAAATATGATTATAGAATTAAAAATTCTAAATGTTATTGGAATAAAATTAATGGTAGATCAACACGTACAAGAATGTGTATACTTACACCATATGATCAAAATTTAGATAAACAGAAAATTATCTGTAATGGTTATACACAAATGAAAAAAGAATGTGTTTGGTTTAATGGTGATCAAGAAGAATGTTTTATCTGTAAGTAAGATAGCTGTTTCTCTTCACAATTACTGTTATTTGAATATATATTTATAAGAAGGAGAAGTTTCAGTATCTTAATGATGTCAGTGGTTTCGGTTGGAAACATTACTGTTTGTTGATATGTTTGCTATTCACCATTGTTTAACTGGATTGAAGTGTTAGACCTATATTGGCATACATACTGCTATGCGAATGCCTTGATATTGTCTGAATATTTATTATGATAATTTACCTGATTGTGGCTATCACAGGAATCCAGGATGCACGTTTCGTCCCATCTTGGACTCGCAGTCGTCAACACCAAAGCATTATCCATTGGGCCACTGAAGTACGCTAGTCAGAACCAAGGAAATAATCCACCGATCCAGTGAAACAACGGAGAATCACAAGTATGACAACAAATAGTAACAGCTAGTACCTATTGTACAAGAAGGGACTACCGTGTCTCCGTTGGTGTTTGAAACAATGGGTAGGTACTTCGAGTCTCCATGGGAACAACATCACTCACTGCAATGCTCGTATATTCAGTTGACGAGTTCCAAATAGGAAAAAAAGCATGTCCTGGATTCCTCTACCAGCCATAATCAAATGAGAAGATCGTGGGAACAGTTAGTCCCTTTTATAAACTTAGATAAAGTAATTAGAAGATACAGATTATCGGAAAAATGCGATGGATTTGCGCTATACATTTCGAACAATCTGATCGATATATTTACATGTTAAGGCTTTTTACATGAAAAGTGGAAGTGGGGGAAAGACTAATATGGCATAAAGGAATTTTTTTCGAAAACAGAGTTTGAAGTAAATACGCATTTTCGGTAAATTCTCATTAGGCTTTATAATTTTATTTATAAATTATTCAGTATAGTCTTCATTTGAAACCATTATGGTTAGTTGGATTCAGGTATACGAATTAGAGGATGATAATAAAGATAACAAATCTTGGACCGCGGGTGGATTGGAACCAGCAATCAACGGGTTTCCGACCCACCACCCTACTAACTGACCTACAAGGTCCACCAGCCGCACGGACGTGGCCCACTTTTGGACCTCATGACTCAACTGGTAGAGTGATGGGCCGGAAACCTGGTGGTTGTCGGTTCTAATCCAGTCGTGGTTCAAGTTTTCATTTCACCTTTACTCATCACCTAGTATTAATACTAGTCTGCTAAACCACGGTTATCTCAGACAGCCAGAATGATAATAAAATAATAACAAAAACAAAATTTCGGAAAGTTTATATATTTTCAGTGATCAATCCTTGTAGGTGGGTGAGTGAAGGAATTTAATAATGAAAAAGATAATGAAGGGAGAATAATAAGATTTGAAGACAACTTTTTTAGTACGATAAGATAAGCATTATCAGGTTTGGCTTAGCTTAAGGACAAACTGTTTTCAAACGCACAAATGAGACTTAGATTTGTGTTTGGCTAGCACTTCAACAAAACTAAGTATACGCCCCTGACATTTTCTATAACCTTCATCAATAATAGGTTTTTGCAGCGGGAGATGATGATTGTCTGCCACCTATGCTAATCGATGTTTGTGGATCCAGCTGATTTTATAGACATTTTGGTACAGGTTCCTCTACTCTCAAGTGTATATCTCGATTTGTTCTTATGTATGTATCTACACATGCAAGTAAATTGATAAATGAAATGGGATGTAACACAATCGTTTATACAATGTTAAAGTCTGTATTGCAAAATTTGTTTGGTTTCCTCATGTAAGATAATCTTAGCTGGATAGTATGGTTTGATAATGATAGACTTTAGCCTTCGTTTTACAATTATGCTATATTGTAACGCGACATAAAAGCATTTCTTCGAAACGCAATACAGATTAGGTATCAACATAGGTAGATTTTTGCAATGATTTATGAACTGTAAAGGATGTCTATTCTCCATTAATGTTTCAGTTAGTATGTTGATGTCATCATTCATTAAGTCTTCCGTTTAAATACTCTGGATTCCTTTGAATAGACATATTATGAAACTTCGCTTGTGTTCAATTGGAACATTTTATTGAACTGTCTTTCCTAGGACTTAGGAGCATATCGAAAAACTGAAAGACAAATATGATATAAAGTAATTTTTAGGTCGATAAAGATTTCAATTTTAAGATAGTATTGCTCATAGAATGTCTTCATTTGGAGAAAGACTGAAAGCCTGAAATCACTAGTCCTCAAAATGCATTACTGTATAATGCTCCCTTATAACATGCTTCCAGATAGATATCCAGAAATTCGGATGAGAAGCCGTGAGGGGCGCATGAGAACCGAAGACCATGGGTAATACTTGCGGTATGCCGTGAGTTGACAGAAGTTGGAAACTGTGAACTACTTAACCTCGACCCATTAGTTGAATTACAAATGCGTTCTTCGTGAAACCTGAAGGTCCTGAGTTCTATTCGTAGCCGAGTCATGGGTGTGTACTTCTGAGAGACCCCATACTGAGACAAAACAGCTGTTCAAAGCTCCTATATTATCAATGATTCCCTAACTGATGTCAGTCCGTTTAACACTAGACCAGATCACCTAGCCTTAATCAACACACTGTACTGTAACCTGTGTTCTGGTGATCAACTAATATTAGTAAGTGGATTATTTTGAAGTGTGAGGGAAACTTTTCATGTCTTTCTGGAATGTATCCATAATGCACTGCTTAGGAAACTATGTCCCTGATGCTCAATGAAGATACAAACGTTTCAGAACGCACAAAAAGTAAATACCAAAGTCTGATGGGACTCGTGGATCTTTGCTTGACAACATACTTCCAATTCAATGGCAAGATATACAAACAGATGAAAGGAACTCCAATGGGGTCACCGGTATTCAGATTAATTGCAGAAGCAGTGATGCAAAGACCAGAAGCCATCATTATACCTGTGATTAAACGAAAATTTTGGATTCACTATCTAGACGATACTTTTGTCATCATTCAAAAAGATGTAGAAAATGCTCAAATTTTGATCAATAACGTGTTAAGTGACATCAAATTTACAATAGGGAAGGAGTCAAACAACCAACTACCATTCCTGGATGTTTTAATCAGTTGAATGGATGTCGGAAAGCTGGAAACCCAAGTATACTACAGTAGGCCAAAATACACTGGTCAAATTCTCAACTACAGTAACAACACCCCAACAACGTACAAAATTAGTTGCGTACAGACTTCACTCAAAAGAGCTAGAACACACTGCAGTACGACAACTTCATGGAGAAACAAAGAAAATTACTTGATGTCTATCCTAAAGAAGAACGGTTACCCACGAAACTTTATCAGAAGATGCCTATCCCGTACATCACCAACTACAAAGTCATCGACAGAAATCAATCAACGAACCATCCTACCATACATAAAGAATATATGAGAGATCACACAAGATTACTGAGACCACTTGGAATTTGTGTGGCCATTCATAAACCAACAAATTCCCTCCGAACCCTATTATGCAGACCAAAGCATGCAACAATCAAAGAAGACAAACCGAGTATCATATACAAAATCAACTGAAATAACTGTAGTCAACACTACATTGGACAAAGTGGTTGCCCTCTTCATCTTCGTCTACATGAACATCATCACTCATTTCGATGCATGTGGATAATTATGAACATATGTTCAATTTTGAGAATGTAAAAATCTTGGACAAAAGAAACATAAAGAATATCAGAGAATTCCTAGAAGCTTGGAATTCAGACCAATCAGCAATCAACAAATGTGTAGATATAGACTGAATCTACCAACCACTAAGAAAAATGCTAAACGACAGAAAGGTCAGAGGTGAAGCAGAGGAACAGCCAAAAGGAAAATCTATACAATCAATGACACAACAATCAAAGGCTTCAACCAGTCACAAAGCAGTTCTTCAGGGCAAGCTACTAAATCACTCACGGAGAAATATTGATAGAACATTTCATACTGAAGTTAGTGCTGATGATGTTGTGTAGAAAGACGATGAAAGCTTCACGACTAAACAACTCAGCTCACAGAACACAATATAACAAAGAGGATTTCTATGAAAAAATGCTGCATCAGTATAATTTCGTTTGACTGTGCAAAATAACTTGTAATTTAAAAACCCAACAACTTGGTTGCTTAGTTTATTATTCTGAAGATTCTATGGTATCACGTCAGTTCATATAAACTCACTTGATGATAGATTATTTATCTGAAAACTGCTGTTCATAAAATGTCTACTTACCTAAAGAACTTACCAGTTGCATAAACTATGATTCGTTTATTATTGTTGAATATTAAGAAGAGCGATTCGCTATCAGTCTATTTTTAACTTTGTTTACCGAAGTATTTTTGGCTTGCCTATATTTGACTTCTCAATTTTACAGGACAAAATATGCGAGATAACCAGATACAAAGATATTATATTTTAACACAATGACTTGCTTTTCTTTTTTACCTTGTTTTGTTTAAAAAGTTTCATTCATCAACCCGTCGGTACATTTCTATGTCATAACATTTCGGATTTTTGTTGTCCTCTTCAATAAATAATACTCAAATCAGTTGTGAGTATAAACAGTGAGGGACGAGAAGAGGGGCATGCGCTGGACAGCAGAAAAGAACCTAGAAGATTTGGATTTCGCCGATGACTTATGTCTAATGTCACACAAACTTGAAGATCTACAGGCGAAAATTAACAAGTTGATAGAAGAGGCAGGGCAGCGAAGAGAGGACTTCAAGTGAACGTAGGGAAGACAGAGGTGATGAAGATACCCAATCAACAACAACAACAACAACAAGCTCCATTCTCCATCAAAGCGAGAAACTTAAAGGAAGTAGCCTCTTTCACATACACCTAACTAGGCAGCATCGTTTCAACTACAAGCGGCACAGACGAGGACGTCAAAACCACGATCGGAAAGACAGCAAGACAAGCATTCATTAACCTGAAATCAGTGTGGAGATCTTCTACACTCCAATCAGCATAAAGCACGAACAACATCAAGATTTTCAACACTAATGTCAGTCAAGTAAGTCAGTGCTTCTATGTGATGGTTGACAGACTTGGTACCTTACGCATGGCATTTCCAACAAACTACAGATATTCATCAACAACTGCCACCTACGCCCACTCGATGCTGAAGATCAGATGGCCACAATAATAAGAATAAACAACAAGGAACTCTGTCTAGCTAGCAATGAACCAAGAAATCAAGAACCTATCACTCAACAAATATGCAGAGGAAGGAAGTGGATATGGATTGGTCATGCACTGAGAAGACCATTCGGAGACATCACGCAACAGGTACTCGATTGGAACTCAAATGGGAAACGACGAGTTGGGTGTCTGAGGTGAGGGTGACATGGAGGAGATGGTGTGAAGATGAAATGATAGGTTGTGGGCAGTTGTGGCTGCAGGTTCAAAAGACTGTAGAGAAGAGAGTGGAATGGAGATGTGCTATTGAATCCCTATGATCCATTAGGAATCCAAGGGATAAATAATAAAAGTCAGCTGTGATTGTATGTTGTTGACTTAATCACATTAATCCTAACCAGTGAGTTATGATACTGATTGTGATTCTTACCACCATCACATGATAGAGTGTTTGTACGAATCAATATACGACTGTTGGTTATCACCGTCATCATTAGTATTGTATTGAAGATATTGGTGATTATCATGTTATGAATAAGTTATATTATACATTTAATCTTTATTTTCAGTTAATCTAACAAATATTTATGAAGATATTCCAATTGATGTGAATACAAATTACTACAAAACTTCAATATGGAGTAGCTGGTCTTCATGGTCATCATGTGATTACTCACAAATGCTACAAAATAATCAAGATAAACTTGAATTAACCAAAACTTCATTAGATCCAAGCAATCCAAATCTATTGGCTACACGAACAAGACAATGTAAATTAGTCAATAATGCTGAAAATGATGAACTTTGTACAACACAGAATTATAGAACAGTTTGTTCTGGTTCATGGAATCAATTGAAAACTTGTCCAAGTTTAGCTTTAAATATTGCAGGAGGTAAGATGAAATAATTTTAATCTTTCCAGTCTACATGGTACTACTTGTATCTGAGTGATTGTAAACTTCAGTATATGAAATATGCCCATTAGAATATGCTTGAAGAACAAATACTTCACCAATGAATCTCTTTTCGATAGTTGCATTTTCAAAACTGTACAATCGCTAACTTATACATATTCTTAGTGTAAGAATTTGTTAGTTAAAAATGGTTTGCTAAGTATGTCAACACAAATAAAATATCAATAAATGAGCTGTCGTTAAAATCAAAATACTAAAAACTGATGAGTAGTGAATATTAATCAAAATAAGTTTCGTGACATGAGATGATATAATTGGAAACTGAATTATCATCATGCAGAGCATAGCAACAAGAATGAGTAGCAAATTACTTAACAAGTGAATAGTGTGAAAATAGAAAGATGAAAAGAAAAGGTTAGGGGTGGGAGAGAGAAGAGATTTTAAAGATTGAAAATTAAGACCATGAAAGGAGAAAGATTAGAACAATCTTCTTTTGTGTACACACTTCAGGTTTCTCTATTTGGATGGTAATAGCTTCGGTGATGCAAAGAATACGAAGAAATACACCTTGTAGATAACTTTGAATGAGGAAGTTCTTGAGATGGGATAATTCGTGTTCACGATGTGTTCGATTATGTCACTCCTTATCGCCCCACTGTTACCTCTTTGTAACTACGAGGGAACCTTTTTGGATAACAGTCGCACCGGCTCCACAAGAGCAGGTGAATTGATCTATGCACATAGAAGTGGTCAGATGTGAAAGTTTCTCCTTTGAGCTGTTAGAAATCGTTGAGCTACAAGAGGATACCAGTCTCAGCGCTGATCCGAAGAATAATATCCCTAGAGCATTTGATATCCTCCTTTTTACAGTGTCAGCGGCAGAATTACCTTTGAAGTTGAGATTCATTTTTGGTGCGGTGATATAATCCTCTTTACACGAGGTTAAGGCTTGATGTTTTTGTCCATGAAGTGTGATTGGAAACCGTTTTTAATCAGGATGTACTTTAGAACAGAAATTTCCTCTTCTAACACATCAAGACTGCAGATTCGTCTAATGCGAGTCACAGGAAATATGATCAGATTTCGCTGATAACTCATAGGGATTGAGCTATTAAAGTTCGTCAGTTGACCATTTTCGACCTGAAGAGTGAATCTAGTTGTTGAATAACAGTTACTGAGTATTATAGAACATGTATGAAGTCATATTGATAATCACAGATAATAAAAGTATCGTCTATGTACCTGTCGTACAGTTAAAAACTTTCAGTAGTTGATTTCAAGGGTCCGTTCTCCAAACTAGCCATAAGGCAGTCTGCTAGTAGTAGACCTAGTGGGGATCCCATGCCGATCCCGTCTTTCTGTCTATAAATCATATAAGTCATATGAAATGAACTTTGAATGTACATCTAAGTAATAATTCCTTAAGGCGGCTGTTCGGTGTACAAATATTGGTGTTGTTATCTTTTGTGTATCTGCATAAGAATGAGACAATTTCAGTAAGTGGAACATTAGTGAAAAGTGACTTGACATCAAGTGATATCATACATTTATTAGATACGTTTTCGTCTCTTATGCAATCAACAAATTCAAAGTATCACGTACAGAATGGAAGGCGATTCATTTTATTACAGGCTCTAAGATTTCTGCTAACCATTCAGCAATTGGATGGTAAGGAGATTCAGACATATCTAGAATCCGACAAAGGGATAGACTGGTCTTGTGAATTTTTGATAATCCATAAAATCGTGGAATTGTAAAGCCTGTCGGTTTGATGCGTTCGTAGAGATCATCGGTTATTAGCTGATCCTTTTTTAACCTATTCAAATCATTATTAAGTTGTTGTTCAATCGGTTCTGTCTTATTTTTTCGTTAGCAGGTTTATAGAGTTTGTTTTCATTCGAGAGTAGATCCACCATTTTGTCAACGTAGATACTACTGTCTAGTATGACCACACACACGCACCCTTGTTCGAAAGTCTTATTATCAAATCTTTGCTGCATCTCACTTGTTTCACTTGTTCTCTGTGCTCTTTTGTGCTGAATTAACTGATAATGCGTAAAACACTGTGCTTGAATGTGGGATTGGTGGATGATTCAACCATCATAAGCAAGACACAGAGGTGAATGATAATATTTTGTCGAAAACTTGATTAGTAAACGGTATACATCTAAGTATACAATTGGTCAACAATGCTTAGAAGTTCATAAACAAAAATTCACAAGTGTTTATATATTCCAACTGAATACAGGATGCTGAGTATGATTTAAGATATATCATTGTAAAATTTCTGAGGATATAACTAAACTGTTTAGATTTGCATGTAAACTTTTGTCATGGTGATGAATAGAAGATGGTATGGAACGTAAACGTGAAGCTGTTGTCTGTCAACATTCGGAATAACTCTATTGATTCATGAAAAATTAACAAAATCAACTTAATTTTTCAACACTTATTTCTTTGGATCACTTAAAAGACCTACTACTACTTTTATGTACAAGTAATATTAAATTTACATTCAAGGACGTTACCGTGGGAAGTCTTTTGAACCTTGTTTTGGCTGATATATTTATGTAACACGTAGAAAACTTAACCAAGAACTTAATTGATCAAGCATATCTATATCGAAGATATGTCAACGATATTCTAATTATTTGTAATCACTCAAGTGAGTCGATTTCAATTCTAAACCAATTAAATGAAGTTCAGAGTAGCGTATTGTTGACATGTATAGAAGACGACGATGACTCCTTTGCCTTTCTTGGACATAATAATTCGTCAGAGACAGGATGGATCCATAAAACGATCTATCTACAGAAAACCTACGTGGACACAGCAATATTTGAACTATCACAGATTTTGTCCAGAGTGCTAAAACCAGTTCTTCACCTTGTCCCAAAGAAAGATATATTTATCAGTCTTCCGTACAGAGGTGACTTTGATAGCGCAATCCTTAAACACAGACTTAACACCACTGTTAGAAGAGTTCGATTAAAAGAGACCACCAAGCCTGTATATTCTCTCGGACGCTGACAGCATGTGAACGACAGTGTCACATCCCATTGCATCTACCAGTCCAAATGTACGACATGTGGTGACATCTACACAGGGAGAACTCATAGATTCATCCAAATAAGGGCTTTGGAACATATTCCAAAGTGGCTTTAGAAGTAGACTGAATCACCTAAACACAAACGTTGGTAGCAGACACCCTAGTTCTTCAATCGTGAAACATATCGCTGAGATAGGTCACAGGATTGACGTTGTTACTTTCTTTAGACCTATATGTAAAACATGGTGAGGATGGATCCTGAAACTTATTGAGGCATTAGCTATTAGGAAGTTATCACATTAAATCTCCCATAATGAATTCAACCATGAAAATCAAGTTCTATGTTACATATTTTAATAATTATTATTATTATTCGTCCCTTGGGTTCCTAATGGATCATAGGGATTCAATAGCACATCTCCATTCCACTCTCTTCTCTACAGTCTTTTGAACCTGCAGCCACAACTGCCCACAACCTATCATTTCATCTTCACACCATCTCCTCCATGTCACCCTCACCTCAGACACCCAACTCGTCGTTTCCCATTTGAGTTCCAATCGAGTACCTGTTGCGTGATGTCTCCGAATGGTCTTCTCAGTGCATGACCAATCCATATCCACTTCCTTCCTCTGCATATTTGTTGAGTGATAGGTTCTTGATTTCTTGGTTCATTGCTAGCTAGACAGAGTTCCTTGTTGTTTATTCTTATTATTGTGGCCATCTGATCTTCAGTATCGAGTGGGCGTAGGTGGCAGTTGTTGATGAATATCTGTAGTTTGTTGGAAATGCCATGCGTAAGGTACCAAGTCTGTCAACCATCACATAGAAGCACTGACTTACTTGACTGACATTAGTGTTGAAAATCTTGATGTTGTTCGCGCTTTATGCTGATTGGAGTGTAGAAGATCTCCACACTGATTTCAGGTTAATGAATGCTTGTCTTGCTGTCTTTCCGATTGTGGTTTTGACGTCCTCGTCCATGTACTATTATCTTCGATTGATTGATTTCCTTTTCTACTTAACCTTTGATTCAGCCTTCTTACTTAACCTCTTCTTATTTTCTCATCCCTAATCGGCATGAATTTCCATGTAAATACCTATGATAATTACATATGTGATCAGATAGTTTGAAGTCTGTTGAGCAAATTCATAACAAGATTCAAACATTTGACATCTTATTGTTTTGTTAATGTTTATAATGGTAAGTAATTCTCATCAACTTGACTGTTTTAGACAGCCATTGTTTAACAAAATTATATTATTCATACTGGGTGATGATTGAAGATGTTTTGAAAATCTTAATCATTGTAGGGATCGAAAAAGTGGTCTTTATAGACCTACACCTTTAATCATCACCCAGCATTAAAAGACAATTGTTGGAAGAAAGTTTTCTCTTCGGAAAATCATTTTCAGATGTTTTACATTAGCGGTTATAGTTACAAGAAAAATGTATCCTTATCAATGGCTATCAAGAGCTGTTTATAGGCCATTACGTAATAATCTATGAAGTAATAGAACAGGTTGAAAATTTGTGACAATCCTATTGAAACCAACAGTTATAGGGTAAGAATAGAGGAAGAGAATAATAGTGTCGATAAATAATCTTGATAAAATGTCTTACAGTGATTACGAACAAGTTAAAATAAGAGACTGGATGTATATCTCTCTTGAACGAAGAGAACAAATTTGGAACTTCTGTATAGCCAATTCTTCCGTTATGTTCAGGTGGGGAATTTTTCACTTTCTTCGAAATGCTTCAGTTGAATTTATAAGTGGTTTTGGAAGAAGATTCAAGTGAGACAGAGTGATTAGAGTTGACCAGAAGTATTCAAGAAACGAGCTTTTAATGACTTCGCACTATCTTTTAGACAGCCATACAGTATAGTGTTAGAAGATACGTTAAGTTGGAATACGCTTTGTGACGCTTATGTAACCAGCTCCACAAAACAAATGAATTCGTAAGCAAGGACATATGAAGGTGGCCGAAAGCGATAGTTTATCTTTTATACACCCTTGGATCAGCTTTTCTGAAAATGAGTTTAGGCAGCCTAGACCTCCAAGGCACTGGTGGTCATTGTGCCACAATGTACAAATCTTCAAATGATCTGTAGCTATGATGGAAGATGCCATCAACATAATCACTATGACGGGAGTATTTAGTGTATATTTTCTTCATTCATCCACTCACCAGCTCACTGACATTGTTTTATCTCTATATGAGGTTAGCCAATCAGTCAGAATCAACATAGGATGTGACAGTAGTGCATAATGGTTCAGACTGTCACATTTCATTTCAACACATCAAAATACAGAGGAAGTAAGATGAAGGACGAAGAAATAGGAAATGAAGTGTATTCAAAGCACATCAGAAGTCATTAGAAGAGAAGAAAGGTGGATAGAATGAGTAACAGACAGACAACGTCAGCTTAGAACATCGCACAAAAGTGCATCGTTTTAAGTTGCCACATTTCATAGTAGCATATAAACAACAAATGGATTGAAAAAGACTGATCTCAAAGTAGACGAAGTTATGTCAGACAGTAAACAACTTGAAGATGAAGGCTAGCACGAACATTCAGGCATTAGCGGGTGTCAAAGATTGAACACATGTGCCCTACTGTGACAGGTTCTCAGCCATTTTACCAACAGTCTATATGACCCAAGCCAGGTAGGCTGCATCTCCATACACGGCTGGGACAGTCAGGGACTTCATGGTGCCACCTCTTAGTCTGGGCACTCTGAGCCTTCTTGAAGTCCTAAAAGGGATCACTCATGATACAAACATGTTATTGCTAACGTCTCATTGCAGCATTGTGTGAATAAGATTCGGATCGCTGAAAGAATATATTTTCTCGAGGTGACAGAAACCCAGTAAGTTAGGGGGTTCCATTCGAGTGATGCTAAACACAATAGAACACTTCTACAGAGTTATAGCATATCAAATATTTCATCAGCTTTCTAATTAATCAACCTACTATGTAACTTTTGAAGGTTTCCTCATATCAGTGTTTGTTTTCTCACCGTCTAAAATGATCATAGAAAGTTTTGTGTTCAAAAAATTTAGTGATAAAGTTGATGCTACTAACTAATATACAGTAACATAATGTGAACATGTAAATTTTTCGTTCACTTAATTTGAGAATTTAACTCTACTAAATATTTATTTTTATTTGTTTTATTTTTCTTGATATCTAATTTAGTATATGGTCATTTAAATAGGAAGAAGATAAAGAACAAGTTCACAACACTTCATATAATTTTAATTGGTCTATTGAGTTTCGTTGCTGGAATTCTGATAGCCGGTGTTGGAATAATAATTTATTACTGGGGATATTATAAACAACTTACTAGTAGTAATATTCATGCAGCTGATGATAGTATAGATGGTAGTAGTAAGCTGAAGTGTATAATTAATCCACAAAATGGTGTGAATAATCTAAATTCTAGCTGTCTAAATTTATCCCCACCACCTCAACCGATTTTAGCTTTACCGATACCAGATATGGGAACTTCATTAATAATAACTAGTGATAATCAGTTAGACAATGAACATAAAAAAGCTCATAGTGTTATCTATGATTCTGTAGCATCACAAGATGGTATTTCTTGTTTAGAATCAAATCAGAAAAAAATATTAGACTTATGTCCAGAAGAATCATTTCATAGTCATCAACAATATCCTATTGATCAATTGGATGAATATACTAAATTAAATTACTTTTCTGATTCACATTCACGTAATCTACAATATTTTGATGGAATAATACAAGGAAGACAAATAGAATTATCACCAACAAGAATAGATCTATTTAAAAATAATGAATTTTGGAGTTATCCACGTAATGGTAAAGAGATGGTTGAATTAAATCCACATCAAGTTTATACGGAGAATATATCCAGTCTACCGATGCAATATCATGATGATACGCATCATTTTCCACCTAATTACCATCATCATCATCATTATAATCGATCAGCACAATTTGGTAGTACAAATACAGATTATTTACTAAGCTCAAAACATACAAGTAATAATCGAGTAAAATCTTCCAACAATGTTTTATCATCATCATCATTTTCAGGATATAGACCAATTGGCATTTTTAATCAACGTAATCCTAACAACAGTAAACAACACTATACACAGTCACCTTTATTATTATTATCACAACAACAACATTTGAATTCTCGAACTATCAATGTAATATCTACACAATCTGAACCATGGTATGCATCAACTACTATAGGTGTACCAAGTAACATCAGTGATAGTCATCAACCATTATTGGATTATGGTACATCACCAATCAATATATCAGATATACACTATCCTGAACATATTACTATGAGTGGTGATGATGGTGGATATAGTGAAGATAACAGTAATAATGAAAATATTCAATTCCCACCTAGAATGCCTATTTTATCAGAAAGGCATAAATTATATGATATCAACTCACAGACTAGATTAATACCATCACTATCTATATACTCCCGTCCTTCCTACACTCCTAATATGATAGATGGTGATAATCGATCATCTATATGGAGTGGAGAGGAATCAATTCCTTTTGAAAGACCATCTAATCCACATTTAAGGGAACCGAATACATTTTATGAACATTCATCTCCTCATTCTTCACCGATGAGCTTTATACCACCACCAACAAAACCATGAATACTAATTACTAGTAATATATCTACCTGTCAACAGTTTAAATGAAGCTATTTGATATTGAATTGAATAAATTAATTATTAGGATCGTTCATATTTTATATATGAATTTCTCTTTTGTTTATTCTCTCTATCTTTCCTGTCTGTACACATATGAAATTATACAAAATTGAATGTAAAATTGTAAACTATTAAAATGAAAAGTTATTTGTTTGTATGTGTATGGCTTTATTGGACAGTACTAACTATTCATCATTACTAGGAAAAGGGGCAATATAGGCAATATCAAGGCATCTACATAGGAACTTGTATGCCAGTAGAGACAAATCGATTTGGTCCAGTCAACGATAGGAAATCACTAACAGTAACCAACAAACTATAACTCCATCGTACAAAGCGTGTTTTTCGTAACTTAGCAGCCAAGAGGATAGTGCTATGGCTTTTAAAGTGATAGGTTTCGGATTCGAGTCTGACTCGGAATAACACTACTCAATGGGAGGCAGGTACACACAACTGATAAGTCCATAATAAGATGAAACTGATGTCCTAAATTCCCCTGATAGCCATTATTCATCGTTACTAGAATTAAAAAGTGTTCAAATACACCGTAATTAAAACTAATTATAGTTTAGAAAACTAATCATACTATTCTTTATTTGGTCAGCGATCGTTATTATCATTATTACTTTTCAAAGAACCATGTACAAGATAAACTCGTGTGTAGGCTTGGGAATTTCAGCTCAAGTGGATACACATAAAGATGGCCATGGTGCCCCGATGGCTTAATGGCTAACCCTCTGGTGTTTGAAACGAAGGGTACTGAGTTCAAGCCTCAGGGAGGACCACGTCACTCACTGGGGTGCAGCTGATGAGTCTCAAAAAGGACGAAACGCGGATCCTGGATTCTTCTGCTAGTCACTAAGATCAATGGATATACATAAGTTGGGTATATGTAGTAGAAGTTATCATCCAGTATATTAAAGACCAAAATAAGCTCATGAGATATGATGATAGGATGGTGAAGAAAAAATCAAACTGAAGATTAAAGAACACCCGTGTAGTTACAATACAAGTTCATTTATATGTAGCTGTAGAGTACTGCATTACTATATGAAACAGATTGCTCTTGAACGACCAACCAGTGTATCATCCAGTCCAACACAAGGTCAGTGGTATCATCGTTAACTACAACACCGAGTGACACGTGTCTGACATCAGTACCATCGAGATTGTAAATACACCATGGTAACAAGTGCCAACATCCATGAAACTGGCCAAGCAGAGCCTCCTGCCGACTGCCTCTAACTTACTAACATCAACCAATATTCACCGAAATGCTCAGCCTACTGTCTTGGTGGCCACATTGCAAATGTAATCAATGGAATTCAACCAGCACTCAGAACTAGATAACATGAAACTGTCTGCTATCCAGTGACCAATCAGAGGAAAACAGTTCCTGAAGAAGTTTGGACTAGACTTTTGTGTATAACATTGGAAGTGTTTTATTTCAAACACACTGCGACTTACACAAATATAAACTGTAACTAATAATAGGAGTATTCAGTAAATTAGTAAAAGATATTACTTACATTAGTTAAATGGCTTTCTCAGTGTATGCCCATTCCAATCCATCTCCACTTCCTTCCTCTGCATATTTGTCGGGCGATGGGATCTTGGTTGGTTCATTGCTAGCTAGACAGAGTTCCTTGTTGCTTATTCTTATTATTCTGGTCATCTGATCTTCAGTATCGAGTGGGCGTAGGTGGCAGTTGTTGATCAATATCTGTAGGTTGTTAGAAATGCTATGCGTAACGTATCAAGTCTCTCAACCATCACATAGATTCACTGGCTTGACTTGTTTAGTGTTGAAAACCCGGATCTTATTCACACTTCATACTGAGTGCAGTGCAGTAGATCTCCACACTGATTATCTCAGATTGATACGGAAAGGCCTGTCTTACTGTCTTTCCGATCCTGGCTGCTTCCACATCCTCATCTGTGCCACCGCCACCAACTGTAGTTGAAATGATGCTGTCCAGGTAGGTAGGTAGGTGAAAGAGAAACTTTCCTTTAGATTTCTCCTGTTGATGGTGATTGGTGCTTGTTGTTGTTGTTGTCGTTGAGTATCTTAACAACCTCTGTCTTCTCTACGCTCACCTGAAGACAGTGTCTTCTCCCTTCGCTCACTTGCCACTTCTGCCAACGTGTTGGTTTTCGCCTGCACATCTCCGAGTCTGCGCGACATTAGACATAAGTTATCATCAGGGAAATCCAAATCCTCCAGGGTCTTTTCATCGTCCACTAAGTGTATGTTCGTCTTCTCACACCTCCCCCCCCCCCCCAGTATCTTGCACGATCCAGTCCAGTCGAGTCCAGTCGACCACAATCAGGAAGATGATCGGTGATAGTAGGCGGCAACCTTGTTCTCACGTAATCATATGATCCGAGTGAATATCTATTCAAGTATTACCGTTCACAACAATATAGATTTACACCATCAGAATTATATATTGTGGTGCAAAGGAATAGACATCTGAAGAGCTGCAGACCAATGTCAGTGGGTTTCCCATACTACTCACGTCAATGTATTCAGCATTATCATTGAGGGAGAAAGATCAGGAAGATGATCGGTGTTAGTATACGTCAACCTTGTCTTACTCCTTCCTGTCTCCACTTCAGAAGCATCACCGAGCTTTCCATTGTGAATCACTTGGCATGTCGCACCATCACATAGCATGTAGCTGGTGTTGAATGAGGTTGATGGAGGTTTGTGGCACTAAAATCGTAGTGTTGAAGCAGCTGCCTGTCAAGTTACTTCTCGGTCCATATTATTGAAGGCCTTTTCAAAGTTGATGAAGTTGAGGTGAAGATCCTGTTGACTTCCATTCTATGCTATGTTCTATGATGATCCGTATAGTTGCAATTTGATCCACACATAATTATTTCTTCCTAAAGCCAACCATTCCGGTTGTAATTTTGAGTTCAGAGCGTTTCTCAGTCTCTCCAGGATGATGTGGCCCAATATTTTCCCTGGTGTCGACAGGCGCATGACTCCGCGCCAGTTCTTGCAAACTACTTAGGTCACTCACCATCCTTCGAAAGTTTGACAAGGTACCCCTTCTTCCAATCACTGGGCAGGTACCTTTCCTTCCTTCCGTCCTTCCAAATCTTCTGTAATAGTGGTGTGAGCATGTCCGCGGTGTCTCTGCGTCCGTTTTCAGTGCATCTGGAAGAATCCCCTCTGGTCCTGCTGTTTTCCTGGGCTTCAACAAACTTATGGCGTTCAGAACTTCACTTCGGCTTTTGTCGAAGGGCTTGTGTTCACTGATAGTTCTGTGGCTGGGCTGCTGGTGTTATTTCTGAACGAGTTGCAGGTGGTGGCGGTGGTGGTGATCGATTCAAGGGCTTTTTGAAGTAGTCAGCCCATCGTTTCCTTTGTTTCTCCTCATTAGCGGTAACTTAGTTTCCTCCACAAACTTTCATTGGCTTCATTTGTGTCGATCTCTTTCCTCCCAAATAGTAACCTGGTTATTTGATAGAGTGTTGTCACGTCTCTCCTATCTGCAGCCTCTTCTGCTCCACTTGCAAGTGTGTCGTAGAAGTGTCTTTTGTCTTCTCACGCACTCTTCTTCACTTCCTTCTGCAGTGTAATGCGTTATAGATTGTATTTAGCTCCCTTTTCATCGTTCATACCTGCGATGCACTGGTTCATCTTCTGCTTCACCGTCTTCTTCTTCCTCCTCTATCAGCTTCCATGTATCCGTCGAGATCCATTCCTTGTCTTGTCTTCTTTCTTCTTCCTTCCTAATACGGTTGTGCAGGTTTCCTTCCACATAGCTTTCAAACAGTTCCAGTATTCTTCCACGCAGGTTTCTTCACGGATGTTGCTCAATGTCTTCCATTTTTTCTCGATGACTAACTGACGTGAAGATATCCCATGAAGTTTCGTCCTTCAGTTTCTGTTCTGGATGTTTAACTTGAACTGTGGTCAATCACAAACCTCTGTGAAGGCTTTCAACTTGATTTTGAAGGTAGGTTGCTTGCACTAGATGGTAACTGGTGTGAACTTACCCATATATACTCCTCTTCTTCATCTGATTCTGTGTCTAGTAGGCTGGCTGCGTCTCCACTTCCTCTACATTGAGATGAGGTCGATGTGATTTTTAGTGTAGTATGTCCATCTGATGAAATCAAATCTATGTCGCTCGCTTTCTGAATATCCTTGTGTTTGTACACACTGCCTATTATCACCAAATCATGAAATGTGCAGAAGTCTGCAAACAGTTCTCCATTCACATTCATTCCATCAAGTGCCTCTTGACCTATGATGAGTTCCCTTCCAGTGTTATCTGCTCCCAGTTTGGCATCAGAGCACGTCACCTATTAGAATTTTGATGTCGCCACCTGGTGTGGGGTCTTGACCACCACTGACTGCAGTTGCCTGCAGAATTCCCCTTCTTCTCTTGATCCGCATTGTTTTAATTGCATAGGGTAGCATTCTATGATTGTAAGTTTCTTTCCTTTTAAGTTGAATCTTTCTGTCATGATCCTGATCGTTGAGGAGACTGGTCCCCACTGTGTATGATAGCCTTCGATGCTCTTTGGGACATTATGGCAGCTACTCGAAAACTCAGTGTGCTCCTGGTTGTCGTCTGGGTGACAATATCGGAGTAGATTATTGACCCGCCAGTTAAGAGTTTGGAGAGTCCACTTCCATTCCATCTGCTTTAGCAGACTCCTAGCACTTCTATACAAAACCCTTCTCATCTCTTTTACAATCTGGGCAGCCTTACCAGTCAGCTTCAAACATAGTGCGGACATTCCATGTCCCATGTTTACTTTCGCTTTCATCGACAGAGTGAAGACACATCGGCCAATGGGCTTCCTAAAGGCTTTCACCAACACGCGTCATTTCGTCTCCCTAATTCCAGCGAAGAATAAGTTTCTTTTTATTTTGTATATTTTCTTTGTGCTTTGAAGTTTCTTTAGCGGTTGGACTGGTTTTAAGGGGTAGGATTTTTAGCTGTATGCCCAACCTTCCCTCTTTATCTGGGCTTAGGATCAGCTAGTA